TGTTGCCAGCCGCATCTGCATGTACTGGCTACATGCCGTACCCAAAATGGCGCCGGCCGGAAAAGCCACACCTTGGTTCCTGGTGACGTAGCTTTCGTGGCACTGCGCAGGCGCCTAGCACATGCGCAGTGAGCTGAGGCGTGGCCGGCACATGAACACTGGGACTGACGAATCCAGTGACCCAGGACCCTGCGTAATCATGACGCCGACCTATCATCGGCGGAGGCGGGGCCCGTCAGCACATAAGAGCAGACAGCCTGCCGGGGTCGGAGCCTTTTCCCTCCTCTTCTTGGTGCGCACAATAAAGTTTACCGCAGAAGACTTCACTCGAGTCTGCCTCTTATCGCCAGACGATAAGAAACGTGGGTGCGACAACTGGTGCCTGAAACCCGGGACCTGGAGGGGGCCTCCCATTTTGAATGGGACGAAGTTAGAACTGCGGCCATAAAACAGGTAAGGGGCTCTGAGAGGGAGAACTTTCGGGTGACTAGGAGCATAAGTCGGAGGTATAGGAGCCGCTGCTTCTGGTTATAGACATGGGCGCACAGATCTCTCTGGTGAAAGTTTTGCAGACGGTTTATGCCATCCTTAAGGGAGCGGTCAGAGAGAGTGACAAAGCCCTTCAGTCTGCCCAGCATAGTCTCTCAGAAACAGAGCGGGAGAGGAGAACCGGTTTGAAGCAAAAAAGAAAGGTGAAACTGAAAGCAGGATCTTCCTCCTCAAGTTCGGAGACGTCCGACGCTGAGGAAGGGTACAAGCGGGATAGGCGCTTACCCGCAGGAAATGAGGAGGATCAGAAAAGGAGAAGAAAGAGAATGGCGGTGCTACTGCACCGGCCACGCGCGGCCCATGGCCTCAGGGCTCTGGAGCCATTTCACTGATGGCTCCTCCTCCTGTGACCCCATCTGCCCCGCCCATGAGTTGTGGTGCCGACTCCTCCTTCAACGATCCAGTCACACGCCGCGAACTTCAAAATATGTTCCCCGTCTTAGAAGAAGAAAGGGAAAGAGTTTACAGACAGGTAGATGCATTATTAGTGCGAGAATTGGCCATGTCTGTAAAGCAATATGGTCTTCATGCCAATTATACATTGTCCCTGTTAGAACGTATGGGGGGAATGAATATGACTCCCTCTGATTGGCAATTTGTGGTGAAGGCTGTTCTCCCTAATATGGGATCATATCTAAATTGGAAGGGATTATGGCAGGAGCTTTTGGCTGAGACCGCCCGCGCAAATCAACAGCGCGGCGGCGACGCTTTGACGTGGTCTTATAATATGCTTTCCGGACAAGGCCAATACTCTGATGATCAAAATAGATATCCATGGCCAGTATATACTCAAATTTCTACTGCGGCTATAAAGGCTTGGAAGGCCCTTTCACTTAAAGGGCAAGAGAAACTGGGCATTGCACAGCTCATATATAAACAATTTGATGCTTTTCCGTTTAAGCACTCCTTAATTCATATCCAAAAACTAGTAATACCTAACATGTCAAGCATTTGGCTTTTAAAGTTCAAAGCACTGAACATTTATCATCTTCCAAAGCCCCACTGAGAAAGGAGGGCAGAAATACTTTCCGTTAGTGTGATTGAAATAAAACCTCAAACCTTGTAGTTCTAAGAAGAGCTTAGAACAGATCTTTCATAGTTCCAGAATCTAAAATATTTCTAAATAACCACTTTAATTTCTAGTAACATAAATTGACAATCAGAATATATAAAGATCTAACATGTATTTTGTAACAGGGTTTGAGAAAAATAGTGTACCTCTGTCAAAGGTTTTATCTGGAATTTCAAGCACGTAAGGATCTTTCTGTAAAGTTTCCAACTCACCTTCAGATAAACTGCAAATAGAAAAAAGCAGCTCTAAGTTACTTTTCCAAGAGAAACTACCCACACTTCACGAAAATTACCACTGTCATAAAGTAGCTACTCTAACTAACTCAATATCGTTGTAGAAGCAGATCTTCTAGAATGATTCTGATCAAAACACTCTTTCATATCTCCCAGTATTTATCCCGGGAATACCAATATCTGTTGCTTAAGAATAGTGTGTTCTACTGAAGCTTGGAATTGCTTTTTCTCCACTTCAAAATGAGACTACCATGAATACTGTGACACAGAGCCAAATGACTGAAATGAAGAGCTTATCAAAGTCAACCGACCCCACTCCATCATTTTGCAACTGAGCAAGTTGTTCAAATGAAGTATAAAAAATGACAAGTGCCAAGATTAAAACACAAACTTTATGGGTCTGAGAAATGTAAGCTTTTCATTGTAATTTGATCACAATGGTAATTTATCTTTTAAATCAGCAATTCTGCAAAATCTTCCTACTACTTTATTACTTAAACATTTTATATTACAAATGTAACTTTTAAAACAATCTTCTTAGTTCTTGATCATCAGAGCTGAGAGTAGAAAAACAAGCAAGAATGCTGAATACTCAGCACACTATGGTAAGAAATCAATTCTGGGAAGACAGAGACCATTCTCACGGTACACTTATTTCCCCCCTTCTATTGTACATTGCATGTTTATTCTCTCATCCAGCTAAATATTGCAAAACAATGTCAATTTATGCAGAAAATGAGGACTTGAGATAATATGACTGTTCTTCACCTATTTATCAAGATGTTGATATCTGGAGCATAACTGTGTCAGAGCTTCATCCTTTATATTTCATCTTTCTGACTCCAGCAACTCTTGCTTGAAAACCTATTTTTTTTTCTATACATGTCTGTGCTGCATCTCCTGCAAGACAGTGTGAGTTTCTCTGCCACATGGGCTCCAGTGGGGGCTTGGAGGAGAGTGGTATGTGCAACTTCAGCTTCCATGTGCAGAGAGGCATCTCTACAAGGAAGTCACCTGACTGACAAGTGAACAGATCTAATCACATCAGTGGTGAAAAAATGTGGTTTCCACATCAGTAACCCGACACAAGCTGCTGATTCAGGACCATATCAATATGAAAATATGAAAACCAAAATTTAATACAGATATATCACAAAGTTTCTTCCAAGTAATAGTTCAGGGACCTAAGTATTTCAGCTGGAAAAACACTAGTGGATACTTCACAATGAAATATGCCAGGTTCACAGAATTATCTAATTAATGAAATAACAATACAATAAACTTTTTAAATGTTAATACTAAAATACTCACATTGACATATCAGAAGTCATTTCTTTCGTTAGGTCACTGAGGCTTTTTTTAGCAGTATAAGCATCCCACTTAAAAACAACAAAATATTATTAAAATATCTATGCAAATTTAAATGAAAATAAGCAGAAATATCACAGTGACAGCAGAAATATATCAGCCAATGCACATATAATTTTAACCAGTTCTAAGTAAAACACATTGAATTTAAGAAATTGTTGAAAAAATAAATGAGTTTCAGGTAAGCAAATACCTGCCAAGAAATGGTGCTCTCTATGTAAGATCAAGAATAGTTTGGCCAAGTAATAAGCTAAGGGCTATATAAAAGGATGCAAGCTCCAAGCAAAGAAAAAAGACATACGAGTTTTAGACTCGGTAAGTTTGGTCAGTTACCTCAAGGCAATCATTTCTAGAGAAAACAAACTGCAATTCAGTGAAATCATAAAGGTCTAAAACACTTGTACAGCTTGCTGGTAAGGAACACACCTTTTTATATAGCTGATATGATCAATGTCTGTTGGACTTCAATGATGCTAACAGAATTCTGTACATCATCTTACATTTGTATTGATAAAAGGCTAAAACTCAAAGTATGTTATTCTTAGGAAACTCAGATTACATGCATTTTTGTGGAAGGTAGGAGTGTCCAAAAAAAAAAATTACTAGCTTTTCATATAAACGTAGGTACTATCACTTGGTCTATAATTTTCGACAAGTTAAAAAACAACATTAAAAAAACAACATAGTATGCAGCTTTTCACAAATAAAAAGAAATATTATATCAAAATAGAATACTAAACTGATATTTATCAAAATTTAAGTACATGCTAAAAAGAGCAATGGCCAAAGAATAGGTCATATAAATATTTACAAAAATGATACCTTACTTATTTGTAGGCCTTGCTTTCAAAAAATAATGCATGTGTAAAAACTTTTCTAGTATGTAATGATGTCATCAATTTTTACTAAAAATCTATACCAAAACATATTAAGAAAATAATTTAATAAACTGTTAACAATGTGGAAACACATTGTTTCAAAATGCTTTACTGTATTTTAACACATTTGCTTGTTAAATAGAAGACAAAATTGAATAACAGGTGAAAAATAATTCTATACAAATTAATGGCAAACTCTTGAGAATATTTATTTTATTATGAAAGACAAGGAGTCAGAGTTTTTTGTTCCATAAATTTATTCACTCCTCATCGGCCACACAGCCAGATACAGGCCAGACTAAAGAAGAACCCAGGATTCAATCTGGGTCTTCCACATGGGTGTCAGGCACCAAGTTCTTCAACCATCAGCTGCTCTAGCCTAAGGTGCACATTAGCAGGAAGCTGGATAAGAAGCTGAGGAGCCTGGACTTAAATCAGGCAGCCCAACTGAGGACCAGGTATCCTAAGCAGAATCTTTACTGCCACATGAAATGCCCACCTACTTCTGAGTCTACAGCTTATTCTCAAAGGTTAAGACAAATTTCAGCCAATGACTGTTACGCTTCAATACACTGTGTTCAAACACTGAGCACTCACACCTATAAAGCCTTCTGAGAGGTCTGCTAAGGAAACAGGGACATTCACTCACTAATGGAACTTGAAACTCTCTCAGGGTAAAGACACAAAGAATGATCACAGTAAGGGCTGCTGTTGTTGGGTGTTGAAGGCAAGCTGTCAGTAAAGACAGCCATGTCCCACTTTAGAGAACTTGGGTTCAATTCATGGCTCCATCTCCTTGTTCTGGATTCCTGATCATGCACTCTGAAGCAGTGGTAATGGATTAATCATTTGGATCCTTAGTCACCTACATGAGAGATGTGGACTGAGTTCCAACTCTCGGCTTCAGCCACAGCCCGGCCACAATCATTGTAGGTTCTCAGGACAAAAGCAGTTATGCGCAGGGCTGTTTGTCTCTTTCTCCTTTACTCAAACAACATTTTTTAAGATTCATTTATCTTTTTAAAACAGATTTATTTATTTTTATTGAAAAGTCAGATATACAGAGAGGAAGAGAGACAGAGAGGAAGATCTTCCATCCAATGATTCACTTCCTGAGAGACCACAATGGCCAGTGCTGTGCCAGCCTGAAGCCAGGAGCCAGGAACTTCCTCCAGGTCTCCCACATATGTGCAGGAAGGCAAGGCTTTGGCCCATTCTAGACTTCCTTCCGAGGCCACAAGCAGTGAGCTAGATGGAAAGTAGAGCTGGAGGGATCAGGACCGGCACACATATGGCATCCTGGCACATTCAAGGCGAGGGCTTTAGCCACTAGGCCACAGCGCCAGGCCCAAGATTCATTTATCTTTATTGGAAAGAGTGAATGAGTGGACAGAAGAGAAAAAGTTCTTCCCCAACTGTCCACATTTGCCTAAGCTGAACTCATCCAAAGTCAGGAGTCAGGAGTCTCCTTCAGCTATCCCACATGGCTGTATAACTCTAAGGGTTTTGGACTTATTCCCTTGTTATCCCTGGCCAGAAGCAGGGAGCTGGATAAGAAGTATAAGAAGCAGGTCATTAGCCGTCACCGTTATGGAATCATGGTTCATGCAAGATGAGAATTTACTCAATGGTTATATCCCTGGGCCCTCAAATAACTGTAAAACATTTTCTTTCTCTCATACACACACACACACACACACAAATACTACTCAGCAAAAATAGTCTCAAACATCTTTCACAACAAAATGCATGCAAATGGAGAATATTCAGGCTTGATAATCAGTTTCAAAAAGATACATCATCACTTTATGGGGTAACTAATCTCGGGGGTCTTCTGTTCAGCAGGTCCTGAGATCACTGAAGGGTGAAGTCACTGTGACCCTCTGCAGCAGAAACAATGGAGACAAACTGATAGTAGGGGATGTCGGTTTATTTCAAAGAAGTCACACGCTTATAAAGGGTAGGAAAAGGGGCAGGCAGAAAGGTGGTCCTGACAGTACTTCCACCCAACCACAATACTGTGACAGGCTACTAGATATGTCTGTCTCTTTGAACCCTTCAATAATGTTGAAGGTCAGGAAGCACAAAAAGCTGGCTGTGTCTCGGGGCAAACTCCTTACCTGCTGAACAGCAGAATGAATGTAACATTTGACTTCCTAGAGTTGTTTATAAAGGAAGTCCTAGCACAGTTCATTAAAGGGGCAGAGAAGAGAGACTGGGATGCAGCTCATCATTCTTGCTGCATGTCCAGTGAACAGGCCAGCTCAGGGTCTCAGCCAAGGACACGATGTGCGACATGCCTATGGCCTCCAGCATGCGCTTAGCAGGCAGAGATCCAGAGGCAACATCCCACAAACATACATAATAACAGAAGTAATAATACACTTGTGAATAAATATTTATTGTCTTTGTCTAAACTCCTCATGAACAGTAATTTTTCTACTTAATATATATTTAATTATTTATTTAAGGAAAGGTAAATTTTGCCCTTTTAAAGAAAATGAATAAAAAGTTGAAAGAAAAAAAAGGGTGAACAATGTAGAAAAAAAGGTAAAGGGGAACTTTATCATGTTCTTAAAATCATATATTTGAAAAATAAAATATGTTAACTATGTAGAAGATAAAAATTTTGAAAATATTTTAAATTGATCACAGCACTTCTGCCCACTCATTCAGTCCCCAACTGTCCACAACTGCCTAAGATGAGCTCACCCAATAAATAAAAATAAATAAATCCTTAAAAAAGGGTACCATCTGATGGAAGGTTAATTGTCTCTATCCTTCCCTCCACCTGTCAATTCAGTATATAAACATTACAAAGTTTTCAAAAAGTGTGTGTGCATGTATATATGCGTGTATGCACATGTGTTGGTATATGTGTGTATATATGTGTAAGAGTGCTAACAAAGTCTATCTAATGAAAGTGAAATTGAGGATGACTTTATGGCACCTTTCTGCATCATCTGAACATTGGTTATTATAATAGTTATTTATGTGAGGGTATTAACAAATGAGCTCAAGACCTCTGCTTTATCTCCAAAATCTAACAACTGGTGTAACTGGGTCAGGACAACGTAAACAAATAGATACCACTCTCATGCTATGCTCCACTCAGAGATGCCTAACATCTACAGATCTTCACAGTAACAACAATGGTAACACCAGACTCTAGGTATGCCTAATCATGTCGAGCACTTGACAAACATCCATATATTACTTGAATGTCATAATAAACCAAGAAATGAGTACTATTAATATCTTCACTTTATAGGTAAGAAAAACAGGGAATTGTCATAAAGAGAGCATACAACCAAGACAGGCTGATTTCAGATGCAACACATTTAACTACAGGGCATGATGCCTCCACCTCCTTGTGACAGGCACTCCCCAGTGGACAGCTACTGTCAACAGCGCCATCTCTGCTCTTCCTTCTAACTGTTCCAAGTTACAGCCACTTCACTTCCTCATCATGCAGTTCCTCCGCAGTACAGACAACTAGTTCCCCGGATGACTCTTTCCTTAATTTGTACCAACACTGAGAATCACTTAATAGGACCCTTAATTTTAGAACTAGAAAGGGCTTTAGTTAGCTCCTTTTCCAATCCCATTGTTTTACAAATTAATAAAATGGTCCAGAGATCTTTCTGGCCCTTCTAGATAACAAAGGGCAAGCCAATGTCCCAAAATGTAAATGCATAAACATGAGCATATGTAACCAAGTTCCTCTAACCCCCTAGGAGAATACAAGTTCTTTCTGAAGTAGTATTGTGCTGAAAATAGACTGAATGAATGCATAATGTAACAATGCATTATTTATCAGAGCAACATAATTTTACTACCTTTTTTTTTTTAACATGGCTCTTTTTTCACCAATTTCCACGCCCAGGTTCTTGTCAAAAGCAAAATTTAATTAAACACAGACAAAATATTTATGGCAGTCTAAAACTTACCCAATTGATATGTGCTTCTTTCTCATAAGAAAGTATCTAAAAAACAAAACAAATTAAATGTTTTTTTTAATATAAGAAGATTTATCATAAACATTGGAAATACTAACAAATAAAAAAAGTACTTCAAGGAACTCCGAAGTCATGAACACCTCTAATGTAAAACTCGATGGATATATTATCTATTGTGCTTTACATGTGAAGGTAATTAATGATTTTAAATGGTAAACTTCTACTTTATGTTCGCTTGGAATAAATGTCCACAATAACAGATGTCTTTTTCAGAGATAACAACCCTGCTTTATTATGAGACCCCACTGATGTTTTAAAATCTTTCTTTTGTTGAGTGCAATGTGTTTCATTTTCCAAAGAGGTATAACTATAAGATTTTTTTATCTCACATTATTTGAATCATTAAAATGTGAAAACATCTCTAAACACAAAAGAAAGGCATACAACTGATATTCCATTTCTTTTTCAATCCATATAAACACACTGATATAAAAAACTTTATGAATGAATGAATGCACACACACACACATACATACCAATCTTTGAGAATTACGAATGGTTCTATCCAAATCTTGTTCAAGATCTTCAACTCTCTTTCTATGAAGAAAAAGTAATTATTCTACTATTAATACATAATTACAGGAATATACTATTTTAAAATATTAATTAAAACACCAAGAGGATTTCCTGATAAAATTGAATTCATAAAAGCACGCTGTAAGAACTAAATGGGATATCTGATTATTTTTCTTCCACTAATTTTTTTTTAAGATTTATTTATTGAAAAGTTAGATACACAGAGAAGAGGAGAGACAGAGAGGAAGATCCTCCGTCCGATGATTCACTCTCCAAGTGAGCTCAACGGCCGATGCTATGCTGATCCGAAGCCAGGATCCAGGAACTTCTTTCAGGTATCCCACATGGGTGGAGGGTCCCAAAGCTTTGGGCCTGCCTTGACTGCATTCCCAGGCCACAAGCAGGGAGCTGGATGGGAAGTGGAGCTCCAGGACTAAAACCACTAGGCCACACCGCCGGGGCCTTCTTTCACTAATGTTAGTATTGATATCATTTAGGCATTTCTTTAAAAATAAACATGATTTTTAGACATGTTATAGCCACAACACAAAAGGCATTGAATACCTATAGGTTAAGATTTCTTTTCTTCTATAGTTACGATCCTCATCCACAAATGACACACCAGGCTTTTGATCTATCTGGCAGTATTCTTCAACCATCACGTACCTTAAAGCAAAAGTGAAAATTTATAATATATTCAAGGCATTTCATTATTAAAGACTTTAATGTTTTTAACTGTACCAAAATTGGAGCCTCCCATAAAAATATCCATAATTATCATTGCAAACACAACATGAAAACTAATGTGGAAGCATTTCTGATATAGAATTAACATTACAAACTCAAATTTCAAAGCAAAACCTCTTAAAATAATTTTGCTATTCCAAAAGACTCTAGAGTTTTGTGTATGAATTTGGTATAAGATTGAAAAGGTAAAAAAAAGAAATTACACTCACATATAATATCTATCCAGACTTCTATATAAAGCAGCATTAGATTTGTTACACTGGAGTCAGCCACAATAAACTGTGTTCCAGTTATTTCAGATTGGTGGTTAACAATGTGGGAATTCTACATGTAGTTCCTCAGCCAGGCACAGCCCTGGCTGTTGTAGCTATCTGAAGAATCAACCAGCAGATGCAAGGTCTCTCTCTCCTTCTCTCTCTCTCTCTCCATTGAATTCCATTAGGAAACAGTTTATGGGCAAGAATGACACATTAGTGTTAGTATCAATTCACAATAATCCAATATTTATTGTATGTGTGAAATCACACTGAAAGAACACACATAGTCCGGATCACCTTATAAAACAACAAAAAGTACCATTTCCTCCTTGAGATTGCATAAGACCAGGATTAAATTCAATAACTTACAAAATGCTTTTGTACTCTGTTCCAATGATACATTCAAAAGTATGTAGTGGGGAAACAAGACTCAGGAATGGATTAAGGGATACATTAAGGAGATGGAGAATCATTAACCAGGGTAAGGCATAGAGGCTTGGATCCTAGGAAACAGAAAAGGCCAGACCAATAGTAGAAACACACTGCAGACTTGTGGACACGGGAAAGCAGAGGAAAGACAGTGGAGCAGTGGTGCAGTGAAGAGGTACCCTGATGGCAGTTAGTGTTCAGCAATCAGAGATTCATCAACAGCCTTGTGGGAAGGGGAGTTCACCTCAAGCTCAGGAGTTGGATCCAACCATACAACTGCCTATTCTGCTGATATGCTTGATTTTACCATGAGCAGAATGTAGTGGCAGAGCCCAATCAGTCAGGTGCAGAAAAAGGGTGGATTTCATGCCTCAGACCCCCACCATTGTCATATCACGTGCCTTTCTGTGTACTTGGAAAAAGGATGTGGGGCTGTGATTGGAGATCAGTGAGAGCTGTGTATGCACTGAGCCAGGAACAAGCTAATTTCTGGCTCAATGTATTGCACTGGTTCCATAGGGAAAAGACTACTGACCAGGCATTCTACAGAATCCATTAAGATAGGTCTAGGTAGTGCCAGATCTATCAACTAGAAGGCCCAGACTCCGATGAGTGCCACATGGGGTGCCATTTTGTGTACTTAGGATAAGGCTGAGCAACTGAAGAAACAACAGTGGGTTGCAGTCACTGAGTCAGAAAAGAATTCACTTCCAGGACAATGCATTGTACTAGTTTCACAGGGAAAATGGTAACAAAATGTTATATCATTGGTTCCACCAAAATAGATCTTGGTGGCCTCCAGATCTAATGATCAGCAGGTTTCAGTAAGAGCAGCACCGCTGGCAACCCTGTAACTTAGGATAGCTGGTGACTCTTTACTCAAAAAAGCACTGTTCTACCTGAGAGTGGGAAAAAGGACGTAGAGGCAAAGGTGAAGCCATAGCACAGGATCATAGGGGGTAGAAAGTGGAGAACCGAGAGCTGGGACTACAGAGACCATGGTGGAAGTCTAACACAAGAACGTGAGACTGAAATTCACTGGAGGAAGTAGCACAAGTGACTGTGAAGAAAGAACCAGGTACTAAATGAAACAAGGAAAATTGAACTGTAGACCAGTGGGCAACACAATTTAGAAGTGTCCCCTAAGGAGAGGTATCTGCTAGGCAGATGTGCAATGCTGAAAAGCAAAAGAAGAGACAGAGGCACAATGAATATTACTGACGTCTCCCCTACAAAGGAACCTCAGAATTAACTGAGGAAGAAATCTCAAAAATGGGGAAGAAAGAATTTTTTAAAACTTGGTATAAAGAAAAACAACAATGAGAAATAAAAACAGCATTCAAGAAACTTAAGGAATGTCTTACAGGCAATAGCAATGCTGAAACATCATCAAGACAAATAATTTGAAATGAAAGACACAACAGAACAAATAAAAAATTCAGTGGAAAGCTTCAATAACAGAATGAGGCAGAAGAAAAGAATGTCAGAATTGAAAGATATTTTCTTTAACAATGGGGAGGGAAATAAAAAAGCTGGAAGAGGAGCAGAGTCAAGCGAGGAAAAATATTCAAGAATTAAGACACACTACTTTTTAAAAGATTTATTTATTTTTGTTGCAAAGCAGATACACAGAAAGGAGGAGAGACAGAGAGGAAGGCCTTCTGTCCAAAGGTTCACTCCCCAAGTGAGCACAATTGCTGGAGCTGAGCCAATCCGAAGCCAGGAGACAGGAGCTCTTCCGGGTCTCCCACGTGGATGCAGCTCCCAAGGCTTTGGGCCATCCTTAACTCTTGTACCAGGCCACAAGCAGGGAGCTGGATGGGAAGCAGGACTGCCAGGATTAGAACTGGTGACCATATGGTATTCTGGCGCATGCAAGGCGAGGACTTTAGAATGAGGGGGAAGGGTACACCTGCTCCATTTTGGTGAGGAGACTACCTTGTCCAGCCACTATGGAAATCAGTATGGAGAGTGCTTTGGCAAGTGGAAACTGATCTACCATATGATTCAGGTATCCCACTTCTGGGAATATATCCATATGAATTGGACTCTGAATATGAGATAGTGACCAGCACAATCCATGACAGCAATCATATACTAATAATCTGTGTCCATAGAAATTGCAATGGTTACAAAAAAGTGGTATATCTACTTTATCAAAACATATATTTCCATTAAAAAATAATGAAAATCTACAAATAGCAACAGTCCACTATTTGCAACTGGAGAGGAGCGCACTATGCTTAGCGAAATAAACAAGTTCCAAAAGGAAAAAATTGCAATGTTCTCTGAAATAAGGCAATGTTATGCAACTACACAAAACATATATATATATATTGGTAAACAGATAAATATATGTATATATTTTTCTCTTATATCAACTGCACAATAGAGACTAGAATACTGGGAGTGAATAAATATTTCTGTATGCATCTCTACTCCTGAATAAAAGAAGGACTCCCAAGCAGGTAAATTCCCATTGTGCCAGGATAGACATTTTAAGAAAGAATGTTGGACTTGTGACTACTCCTGAAGGACTGTAACATTGTGAACCTAGGAGAGAAATGGTTAGGAGGAATGGGGAAAGATGAATGGGAGAGGATGGGAGAATCCTTAAACAAAACAAAAGAAAAAAGCACCACAGAAAACAAACAAACAAACAAAAAACACCACAATAGGGGAATAGGGATTCTAAGAAAACTGCCAATGTTCAGCAATAGAATAAATATAGAATTTACCATTTAGATCCTTAATTTCATGCCATTTATATTCCAATATTCAATGACTAACAATACAGTGAATTGATGGTGGAGATTAAACCTATTCATGGCAACTGGACTGTGCATGAGCCTAATGAGAAATCCCAAGGCACTAACGGGGAGGTGCTTCTCAAGAGAAAGCAGGTAGGTTACAGAGACTTAGTATGCTTCACATCGCTCTCTGCTTCCTTGTCTGCTTTGTAATGAATGGGCTCTCCACTGTTCTCCACCCTCACACCAGTCCTGGACCCATGAAGCCACTCAGTTTTGGATAGTGTATCTAGAGCCTGTTAGCCAAAACAAATCTTCCTTCCTAAGATAATACTAGTCAGTACTTCAAATAGTCATTAAAAGCTTACACAATATAAAATTAGAAATCAAGGGTGGCTTGAGCAGTCACTCTGATCAACCAAGCAAATGAACCCGCTTTTATGAGTCAAGGAGCACTTGGCAGGATGAGAGGAGTTAGACTGGGCAGTAGCAGTTAGGGTATTCTGGGTCCCCAAGTCATTTTTACTCAAATATAAAAGAGTATTTTCCCCACCATGTCTTGGGACTCACCAGAACACATCTCTTCCAGGGAACAAGGGTGCTTTAGCATATCAATTCCTCAACCTGAAGTATCAGCCATTATCTCCAGCCATTGTGTGGGAGGGCCTCAGGCTGGTCTCCTTATCACTAAAGGACTGGGGGAAGTAATGCACTTGTTCCCAAGGCCAACGCCTGACACCTGTCTGGTCTTTTGCCCCAAAGCCAGATACCAGGGGGACCAGGAATTTCCTTTCTTCCTTGGAGAGCCCCTTTGAAAGTAAACCTTTAAAAGATGCATTCCCCACCATTAATATGGGTCTCTTTTTCCATTTTTCCTCCTACCACTATGGCAGAGGACTAGGGTCTCTTTTTTCTCCACTTCTCCTTCGCCACTATGGCAGGGGGTAAGGGTCCTTTCAATCTCAGAGCCCCCTCCCGTCACTAGGACGGGAGTTTCCTTTCTCAACTTTTCTAATAAATTTTGCTTTAAAACTGAATTGTGCAGGGGGAATCCCAGTGCCTATAAATCTGTGTCACATAATGCAATGCAATCAATAAAAAGAAAAAAACACAACTAAACTGTGTCTGCATAAAAATTCTTCTTTCCTGCGAAACAAGGATTGAGGTTGTTGCTGTACTTGGCATCAAAAACCCAACAACAGCAGGAGCAATCTGCCCAGGAAAGTTGAATCAATGATATGTCTCTGTGTGTGTGCATGTGTGTGTGCGTGTGTGTGTGTGTAATCAGAGATGCATGTAAGGACTAATGCAGTCACGCATGTCCTCTTAATTTTCCTGACCTGGCCTCACAGTATCATTATGTTTAAAGCAAAAATATACTGAATATTCACATAATAGAAATAACACTACCTTAAAAGTATAAATATTACCTCAAAAATTTTCCCCTAAAATATAGTTTAGTATCAAATAATATCCCAAGAGATGAATGAACGAATTCAATCAGAAACTGAGAATGTCCAGAAATTTCAAAAACTGAATGTGCAATAAACGACTAGAATTTCAAAGCTTTATTTCATTCTATTTATTGAAGCTATCAACGTATTTTTTGTTATTTGTGAAATTTGTTTTCATTTTCTTGATATCACTTAGATAATAATGGAAATATCTTTGGAATTTCACTTTCAAAATGCACAAATTTTAATTGGCTTTTCTACTTGGTTTGGACAGTTTTGATGTGCTTTCAAAATAGTGACAATGAACAAGCTACCTAACTTCGTTCATATTAATATCAAAGATGGAAAACTTTAAAATTTTGTAGGAAAGCTGTGTTCTTTCAAATAATATTCCAGTGACCCAATAACTTAAACAACAGCCCCCAAATGAGTAAATACTTCAAAATGAAACATGCAAGATTCACCGTACCCTTTCCTATTTATCCTTACAAAATAATTAACTATTTCATAAAGCAGAATAAAGTAGCTAAAGTTTTCAAGTGTTATCACTGATATACTTACATTTTCCTTTTATTTTCTTCCTTCAAGTCATTCAGGCTACTTTCAGCAATACAAGCTGCCAACTTAAAGATAACAAAATATTGGTAAACATATATGAAAAATTTAGACTAAAATGAGCAACAGCATCTTAGTGAGAGTGTATAAATATCATAGTCAATGCACATATCACTTTTATTAAAAATCTTATCTAAATAAAAGATTTTAAGTTTTGGGATTTATTGAAAAAGGAAATGAGTTAGAGTAAGAAAATAATGTGAACATAAAAATGAAGCCTATTGTGCACTTGTAAATGAATGTTAAGCTCCCCATGTTAGATGAAGGATGTTTGATTAATCAAGAAATAATCCATGAGCTATGGCAATGCAAATAGAGACTCAGAGTCATTATCAAAGGCAGCTTTGCTTATTTGCCTCAAGGCTTTCATTTATAGAAAAAACTCACTATAATTCTGTGAAATCATAAAGGTCTAAAATAGTGCCACAGCATGTGGCTAAAGGTTATCTTTTTAAACAGCTAATATAATCAGTGCATGTCACATTTCCATTAAGTACATACTATTGTGTAAATACTAACCCATTTATTTCACAAAAGATGAAAATACTGGCAAAACAAATTATACAACATGGTAACTTTCAACCATATTCAATAACCACACACACACAAAAAAATAACATGGAAAAGTTAAATGTATTCTGAGGAATACAGAGGTTAGCTGCAGTAGTTACTTAGAAAATTTGACTACCCAAACTATCAAAATCCACCAGTTCATCATATAAAGGTTGATAAAATCACTTCGTACATACTTTTATAATATACAACTGAAAATCACACAGTTCAAATTTTTATGCACATAAGCACACACAACATGAAATTTGTTAACTTATGATTCATCAAATTGTTGAAAGTAACTCAGCCAAAGAATAGATCAAATATTCACAAATTATTTGTAGTGATTTCCATCCAAAAAGATTACATATAAAAATCTTTCCCCAACACAAAATGACGTCATCATTTTTTCTGAAAAACTATGTCACAATGATCCTGTTATTAAAATCACCCAGTTTTTGAATGAATAATAATGTGGAAACAAAATTATTTCTGAATGTTTTGTATAATACTGTAACATATCTACTTGATAATTAGAAGGCAGAAAACTATATAGGCAAGACACTACTAATATCAAAGACATGGTGCCAAAAACAAATAAATACAAAGTCACAGCCAATAGTTAAGACTTCTTTTACTCTTTTATCTGAATGGCAATGGAAGACTTTTTCCATACACCTGTTGATGCCTCATCTGGCACACAGCCAGGCAGCCCAACTGAGGACCAGGTATCCTAAGCAGCATCTTTACTGCCACATGAACTGCCCACCTACTTCTGAGTCTACAGCTTATTCTCAAAGGTTAAGACAAATTTCAGCCAATGACTATGTTATGCTTCAAAACACTGTGTTCAAACACTGAGCACTCACACCTATAAAGCCTTCTGAGAGGTCTGCTAAGGAAACAGGGACATTCACTCACTAATGGAACTTGAAACTCTCTCAGGGTAAAGACACAAAGAATGATCACAGTAAGGGCTGCTGTTGTTGGGTGTTGAAGGCAAGCGGACAGTAAAGACAGCCATGCCCCACTTTAGAGAACTTGGGTTCAGTTTATGGTTCCATCTCCTGCTTCTGGCTTCCAAACACTGGAAACTAGTGGCAATGGATCCCTTGCCACCTGCATGAAAGACATAGACGGAGTTCCAAACTGAGCTTCAGTAGTCTCAGAAAATTGCACAAGTAGATTAGCTTTCAGAGAACTAAACCAAATAATGACTTCACTTTTGCAAGCCATTTCTCTGTCCCTGCCTCGTTCTTTTTCCACTTCTTTCTCCTTATCTTTCTCCACCTAATTATTTCTCAAGTCTTTATACTCATTTCACACGCATGTATAATGGAACAGTATTCACACATTAAAGTAAACTTTGTCTTTCACAACAATATCATGGAATTGGTGACCATTACGCTTACTTGTTATGTCAGTCGCCAAAAGACATCTATTCTTTCCCTAATTTTGCATAAAAACATACAGAGTGCAACAAATACATTAAATATTTTGTTATTTCACTATCATTTATGGCTGAAGAACACTATCATTTATTCTGCTGAGGAACATTAATTTTCTAATTATTATAGATTGAATTATTCAATTAATGAAGGAAAGGTAAAGCATAAGATTGTAAAGAAAATGGAAAGTATAGAATTTTAAAAACTAAATCAAAAATAACAAAGTAGGAAGGAGAGAGGAGAAAGAATAATGTAGAAAGCATATTTTTAAAATCATGCATGTGAAATCTATGACATTTTTTAACTTTGTGTATGTGAATAATATATTTTAAATGACCTCAGTAAAGAACAGTGTATTCACCACAGACCATGAAAGAGACTACTATGCAAGTTTAAAGAAAATAAAGTTAATCCAAAAGGATGGAACAAAGAAGTGGTCAATGAAGAAAGTAACAGTTGAAATTATACAGGTAAAAATCTGGAAACAAAGCAAGTTTCATCAAATGTGTAGATACTTTCAAAGTTTTATTTAATGTTCTAGGAAAGGCAGATTGACAGAGAGAAATGAACAGAGAACAAAACATCTTCTATCCACGGTTTTGCTTCCTAAGAGGTACAGTGACCAAAGCTGAGCTGATCTGAAGCTAGTAGCTAGGAGCTTCCTAACAAGCCTCTATGTGGGTGCAGAGTCCCAAGGCACTGGGACAACCTCCACTGCTTTTCTAGGCCACAAGTAGGGAACACACTTTCTATATGTTTGAACACAAAGTCACACGTACTAAACAAATATTCAATGCAAACTAATAGAAACTGTAAAAGACAAGAATCTAAATGATCAATGTGTCCTTGGGTTGTTTTCTCATCTATAAAATCTGCAATGATAAAATCCAATTGCAGTTATTAAATGGATTTCGTACCTATATATACAAAATACTTTCAAGTACTTTGCCTAATATAACAAGAATTAAAAAAAAAAAGACTTCTTCATCTTTAAAAATTAACATGCGTAAGTATTTAGAAAGTGGGGAGAAATGGTGAAGAAAACTGAATCTATAATGATCCTAGCTAATTCACTAATGAATCTTCACTTGAACTCTTGAAACCAAAACAAACAGAATGTCAGAAAGGGGAGGGACCTGACATTCAATATACCACTCTCTCATTCTATGCTCCTCTCAGACTTGTCTTCACTGTAACAGCAATGGTAACACCAGTTAACATTGACTTCATGCTTATCAGTGTCAAGCACTTGACAAACATCCCTGAATGCTGTCTCCACCTCCCTGTGACAGGCACTCCCAGTGGACAGCTACTGTCAACAGTTCCATCTCTGCTCTTCCTTCTAACTGCTCCAAGTTTACAGCCACTTCACTTCCTCATCATGCAGTTCCTCTGCAGGCATAGACAACCAGTTCTCCGGATGACCCTTTCCTTAATTTGTACCAACACTGAGAATCACTTAATAGAACCCTCAATTTTAGAACTAGAAAGGGCTTTAGCTAGCTCTTTTTCTAATCCCATTTGTTTCACAAATGAGTTAAAATGGTCCAGAGACCTTTCTGTCTCCTCTAGATAACAAGGGACAATCCAATGTCCCAAAATGTAAATACATAAACATGAGCATATGCACCAAGTTCTTCTAACCCTCTCACCCTCTTCTAGGCTACTTTTGAGGAAGAAAAATGCTAAAAGAAGACTGTGGGAACAATCATAATACAACTTAGAATTTAAAGCTCATAATAAACATAATTCCATTATTGATGCAAATAAAATTGGCCAAATCTTTTACACACTACCTTTCATAAATTTAACTAACCCTAATCCTCTCTGAATGAAATACACAATTTAATTCAAAGAAAAGATTAAAAAGGGCATTTGAAACTTACCCAATTACTGTGGGTTTCTTTCTGAACAGAAACAATCTAAAACCATATCATTGAAACATTAGTTTTGTTAAATAAAAAGCATATGTATTAATAACATAGGAAGTAACTCACATGTTAGGAAACACTCTAAGCACACTTGTGTCAGTAAACACAATTTTATGCAACTTTCCATGTATACATCATCTATTGTGTAAGTACACTTAAACACAGCTAAAATTTATATGATAAATATCTACTTTATTCTCGCTGGGCACTAATCAGCCACAACAGGAACTATCAATTAGCAGATAACGGACCTGGCTGAATATGACACCTTACCAATGATTTAAAATCTATTTTTATGTCTGCAATGTAATTCTGCTTTTCCAAAGAAATAGGAGACATGATGACTCTTAAAATTTCATATCTCATATTCTTTGAATCAATGAAACATGGAAGTGTCTGAAAACCACATGTAACACCAGAAGAAAGATATAAAACTAGCAAAGGAATCACTTTTCCCTTTCCATCCAACATAAATGCACAGGAACAAGTAAACACAAGTGTACACACACATACGGACACACTTACCTCTTCCTGGTAATAACGAAATGTTCTGTGAAGTTCTTTTTCAAGATCATTGATTCTATTTCTATGAAGAACAAATAATTACTCCCATATTTATATGCAATCAAAATTATAAGTCTTTATGCCCATTTAAAAAATACTAACATTAATTCTATTATTTATGCTAGCCCAAAACAAAGCTCAAAATGTATACTATGTGCAATATAGTGTATCTGTTTTAACATGAATGATGCTCACAGATTTACCTGTATATAGATATCTATAATCTTAATATAATCATAGGATGTCAATGAAATCCCCCATAAAGTTCTGGTCACCTTAAAAAATACTAGTAAAATGGAGCAGCACCATGAGACAATGGGCTGTACCTACTGCCTGTATCACAGTAATTCCATATTGGCAACTATTCTAGTCTAGCTGCCTCACATAAAGTCCAACACCCAGACAATGCTCCTGGGAATGTGGAGGATGATAGCCTGATGCTTGGCACCCTTGTACACATGAGGCAGAACAAGTGAAAGGTACTGGCTCCAGAATTCACACTGGCTCAGCCAAGACTCTTATGGCCATTTAGAGAGTGAACCAGCAGAAGGAAGCTTCACTGTCTCTCTTATTCTCTTTTTTCATTTCACCTTTTTCTCACACTCTAATTCTGCCTTTCAAGTAAATAAATGATTCCAAAATAATTTTTGGTAAAAAGTAATATTAACTTATCTAATATAAAAAGAAGTAACTAAACTATTCAAGGCAAAAACTAGATTTAATACAAAGAAAATTGAACTGACTGACAAAAGTGTCCCACTTCTTTCCAGATGCTTTGCCATTATTTTCTAGAAATGAGCTTTAGATATGCTTCGTCCACAAGAGAAAAGGCATTGAATACCTATAGATTAAGATTTCTTTTCTTCTATAGTTACGATCTTCATCCACAAATGACACACCAGGCTTTTGATCTATCTGGCAGTTTTCCTCGACCATCAGGTACCTTAAAGCAAAAGTGAAAATTTATAATATATTTAAGGCATGTCATAATTAAAGACTTTAATGTTTTAACTGTACCAAAATTGGAGCCTCCCATAAAAATATCCATAATCATCACTGCAAACACAACATGAAAACTAATATGGAAGCATTTCTGATATAGAATTAACATTACAAACTCAAATTTCAAAGCAAAACCTCTTAAAATAATCTTACATATAAATACATACAATATCTATCCAGACTCCTATATAAAGCAGCATTATATTTGTTACACTGGAGTCAGCCACAATAAACTGTGTTCTGGTCATTTTAGACTGGTGGTTAACGATGTGGGAATCCTACATGTAGTTCCTCAGCCAGGCACAGCCCTGGCTGTTGTAGCTATCTGAAGAATCAACCAGCAGATGCAAGGTCACTCTCTCTCTCTCTCTCAAACAAAAGGAGAACTTAGTCAATAAATTTATCTGGAGAATAGATACAGATGTCTACATTAAAAAGCAGAATGTTTACCAGCAATTGTTGCTGAAGGACTGTACTACTGTAACAATATGAGGGAAATTGATGGGAGGAAGACATGGAACAGGGAATCTGTGTCAAGAAAGTTTATAAAAATAAACACATACAGACAAAAAAAGAAAAAAAAAGAGTATAAAAAATCTGCCAAAATTTAATTACAGAATGAATAAAAAAATGCTGTGATTTGTCTCGCTGATTTCATGAAATTATACCTGAAAATTGAAAGTTAATGATCGGAGTCTAGGAAGGTAGCTGACATAGCTAAATGCGTGCAGAAATACAGACAAAAATTGGAGGAGTAGAGAACAGGAAGAGTAGAATTGCTGGAAAAGGCATCTGAAACTCCCCAGAGTTGGCATGATCAAGGCAGGGGACAAGTAGACATCGAGGATTGAAAATAAACAAAAAGCAAAAAGAAAAACAAAAACAAAACCTCCCAACACAGCAAATGGCAACGTGAACTGGTGGAAGCAGGCACCATCTAGGGTAAACACTGTCGCAGACAATGAAAAACAAATAAAAAGAGGAACTGGTGAGTCACTTTTCAAAGGCTCATGTGGTGGAATCTGAGCCTATCCCCACCTGAAAGCTCTCTTGGACCTAATCACCCAAAACAGACACTTGAGGCTCCTAGGGGCAAAGTTCTCTCTCAGAGACTAAGGCTTCTCTTGGCAACCCAGAAATGGGAGGGCAGATCCCAGGAGTAAACAATAGTGGTGCTGTAACAAAGTCAACTGCCTGGCTTGTGGCAGTGGATGTTTGAGAACAAAAGCACAAAGCCTGCTATCACTTGCCCATCACAATTGAGAGAAGACACAGGGCCTTCGGAGCATAGAAAGGCTGGCTGCTGATTACACACTGTGTGGCAGGAGCTGGACCACTCCCACTCAAGGCACCAGTTTGGCAGGCAGAGGCCACAAAAGCACAAGGTGGTGGGGGACCCTCGCCAGCTAGAACACTCTGAACAGCCACTCCACTGTCAGAACTATCTAATCTATAGGAGCCCCATATCTGCCCCACAGTAGGAAAGGTGAGTACCCAGGAGAGTGAAAGCACCTGTCACCCACAAGGTGGCAGCAGCCAACAAACCTCCTGACCACCTAACCAGGTGACAGAAAAATTAGTGTTGTTTGACAGAGAACCACAAGAAACAGATTACAGGAAAAAAAAAAAAGTTGGGGTGTCAGGTAGTTCACATGGGGTACCTGGAGACCCTCAGGACAAAGGGAAGTGACAGCAATGCTGGAGCAGTGTTGCAGTGAACAGCAATCCCTATCAGTGGCTGGTAAACAACAATACAGACCCCAGTGGACAGCCAAGGATCTAGCGGCAGCCATGGCTTGTGAAACAAATATTGATGGATTTAAAGGGAGAAATAGACTCCAATACATTCATAATGAGGACTTTAATACCACATTAACATCAATGGACAGTTCCACGAGACTGAAACTCAGCAAAGAAACAACAGAATCACCCAAACTCTAGTACAAATGGGTTTACTTGGTATCTACCAAAACTTTCACCCTACAGAGAATGCACTTTTTTTTTTCATCAGTACATGTAACCTTCTCCAGAACTGACCATGTTACAGGCCACAAAACAAGCCTCAATGAATTAAAAAAAAAGTTGAAATCATACCATGCATCTTCTCAGATCATCAGGGAGTGAAGATAGAGACCAAAAGTCAAAACACCCAAGAAGACTTGCAAACACATGGAGACTGAATAATACGTTACTAAATGATTGATGGATTAGAGAGGAAATCAAAGGGAAAATTTTAAAACTGCTTGAAACAAATGAAGGCATCAACACAACAAACCAAAACTTTTGGGATACAATCAAGACAGTGTTAAGAGGAAAGTTCATCTCAGTCAATGCTTATGTTAAGAAACTGGAAAGGAACCAAATAAATTAGTTAACCCTACAATTGAAGGATCCAAACAACAGCAGCAAAGAAATCCAAAATTAGTAGGAAAAATGAAATAATCAAAATAAGGAATGAAATTAGCTAAAGAGAGACCAAAAGAACTATATATGAGAACAATAAATTAAAGAGCTGGTTCTTTGAGAAAATCAATAAAATAGACTCCCCACTAGCCCAACTAATCAAAAAATGGAGTGAGAAGATAAGCATCTATAGCATCAGAGATGAGAAAAAATATAATAATACAGAGCTCAGACACTCAGGAAAATATTAGGAACTATTACAAGCAACTATATGCAAACAAATCAGAAGATGCAGAAAAGATGGACAGATTTTTGGACACATACAGCCACAAAACTAAATCAAGAGGCAATTCACAACCTAAATAGACTTATACGTTGGACTGAAATTGAATTCAAAATTAAAACCCTTCTGACCAAGAAAAGTCCTGGACCAGATGGTTTCACTGCTGAGTTCTAAAAACCTTTTCAAGAGGAACTATTCAAGAGGATTTACTCCAATTCTCCACAAGTTTTTCCAAACAACAGAAATGGAGGCAATCTTTCCAAACTCTATGAATCTAATATCACCTTAATACCAAAGCCAGGTGGAAAAACAACAGAAAAAGTGAACTGTAGACCAATATCCTTGATGAATAAAGATGCAAAGGTCCTCAAAAAAATACTAGCCAACAGGAACTGACAGTACATCAGGCAGATCATTCACGGGGACCAGGTGGGATTCAGCCCAAGCATGCAGGAAAGGTTCAACATTCATAAATCAATAAATGTGATACATCATGTCAACAAATTGAAAAAAAATATGATCATCTCAATAGATGCAGAGAAAGCATTGGTAAGATCCACTACCATTACATGATGAAAACCCTAAGCAAGATCAGTATAGAAGGAACATTCTACAGCACAATCAAAGCCAATATCAGCATCATACTAAATAGAGAAAAACTGGAAGTCTTTCCACTAAAATCTGGAACTAGACAGGGATGTCCACTGTCACCATTATTCAATATAGTATTGGATGTCCATAACAAAGCTATTAGGCAAGAAAATGAAATCAAAGGAATTCAAATTGGAAATGAGGAACTGAAAGTATCTCTATTTGCAGACGAAATGATCCTCTACATAGGAGAATCCAAACTCAGTCAACACACTACTGGATCTCATTAGACTTTGGCAGGGTAGCAGGATACAAATTAATGAACATAAATCAATGGCACTAGTGTACACAAATAATTCCATGCCTGAGAAGGAAATTGTAAATACAGTCCCTAAAGCAGAGAAGAAGCTTAAATATCTAGGTATTAAGCTAACCAAATATGTGAAAGAGGAGTGGTTAAATAAAGAGTGGTACCTCTAATAAAGAGTGGTACCTCTATAATGAAAACCATAAAACATTTAAAAAGGAAATAGAAGAAGACATTGAAAAGTGGAGAAATTTACCATATTCCTAGATTGGCAGGATCAACATCATCAAAATGTCCATATTAACAAAAATAATATACAGATTCAATGCAATCCCAATCAAAATCCCAACAGCATTCTTTCAGAAATAGAAGATACAAAAATTCATCTGGAAACACAAGAGACCACGAATAGCCAAAGCTATCCTGAAGAATAAAAATCAGGCAGAGGGAATCACAGTTCCAGACCTCAAGATATACTACAGTGCAATGGTGATCAACACAGTCTGGTACTGGTACAGAAACAGAGGAGAATATCAATGAATAGAGTAGAAACATCAGAAGGGAACCCACACATGTACTACCAACTACTCTTTGACAAGAAATCTGAAAATAAACCAGGAAAAAAAAATTCTTAGCAATTCAACAAATGCTGTTGGGACAACTGGATAGCAACCTGCAGAGTCAAGAAACAAGACCTGCACTTGCCCCATTGTACAAAAATCAGCTCAAATGGCTCAAGGACCTAAATCTACACCCAGAAACCATCAAAGTATTAAAGAAAAATAGAGGGAGCTCTCTCCTAGGAATAGGCATGGAACCAGACTTCTTAGAAAAGACCCCAAAATCATAGGTAGACAAAGACAAAATAAATAAATGGGATTAAAATTCTTCCATACAGCAAAGGAAATGATTAACAAAATGAAGAGGCAATTAAGAGAATAGGAGAAATTTTTTGCACATTACACAGGTGATAGGGGACTAATGTCCAGGATTCACAAAGAGCTTCAGAAACCCAGGAACAGAAAAATAAATTTTAAAATGAATGAATGAATGAATGAATGAATGAATGAATAAACAACCCTGTAAAAAATGGGCAAAGAAAATGAACAAAGGGTTTTCAAAAAAGAGATCCAATGACTAACAGACATATTAAAAGATACTAAGTCTCCCTAGCAGTCAGGGCGATACAAATTAAAACCATGCTGAGGTACAGTTTAACTCCATTCAGATGGGCCTACATTCAGAACTCAACTAACACCTGCTTGCAGGGGAGTGGGAAGAAAAATATCCTCCTTCATGGCTGGTGGGAGTACAGGCTAGTATGGCAATTATGGAAATCAGTATAGATAGTACTTAGAGAATTGCAAATGAACCTGCCTCAGGAACCAGGTATCCCACTCCTAGGAATATACCCAAAGGAAATGAATACTGCATATATGAGAGGCAGCTGTAATCCTATATCCACAGCAACACAATCTACAGTAGAAAATACATGGAAACAATCCGGATGCCCATCCAAAGAGGAGTGGTTAAATAAAGAGTGGTACCTCTAATTTATGGAGTATTACTCAGACAATAAAAAGAAGGAAATCATACCAGTTGCAACTAGATGGTCACAACTAGAGACCATCATCTTCAGTAAAATAAGTCAAACCCAAAAGGATAAATATCATATGTTCTCTCTAATATAAGGAAACCAAAATGAAAAGCAGACTTCCATGTTTTCTTTTCGTCACCTATGAATTGGTTATTTGTTCAACTCTATGGTACTGTATTTTTGTTTAGTTTTGTCTTTGTTTTAACATCATATCTGTTATCAAACTTATTTGTGGCTTAAGGGAATGTGCAGTGATGGAGTAAGAGACTACTTGGCTGTGTAATGAATGGCTACTCTACTGTACAGGTGCCACAACAGATCTTGAACCCAAATCATCACATAATTTTTGATGATGTGTCTCATGTGAGGCAAAATAAATCTACGTTTCTAAGAATTTCCTCTCAAGTGTTATAACATCACAAAAATCTTACTAATAAATGTAACAGAAGAAAAGCATGGCTTTAGCAGTCAACCTGACAATAAGGCAAATGACATTTTTTCATGAAGACCAGGAAGAACTGGCCAATAGCAACTTGCATAGGAAAAAGGGAAGTGGAACCAATTATATAATGCAAAAAGCATTATGAAAGAAAATTAAACACTCAGGTGACCTAAGTATTTAAAACAATGGTCAAAACGAGTAAAATACTTCACAGTGAAAAATGCTGGATTCACTGAAATTTCATTATTTATCCCTATAATATTACCTAATTAAGAAAGTAACAATAAAAGAGCTAAAAGTTGTTGAGTGTTACCACTAAGAAACTTACTTTTCGCTTTTATATACATTTTCTTTCTTAAAGTTATGGAGTGTACTCTCTGCAAACCGAGCTGCCCACTGAAAAATAACAAAAGATGGAGAGACATGAAAATGTTAGATGAAAATGAGCATGAACATCCCAGAGCATACAAATACCACTGTCAATGTATGCATCCACTTCAACGAAATGCAGATAAAACATTTTAAATTGAAGGATCTTTTAGAAAAGGAAATATTTTCAGGAAAGCAGATGACATGGACCTAAAACTGGAGATGACTTGTGCACTTGCCAATGAATGCTGCTCTCTGATGTGAGATGGAGGACTGTTTGATCAGTCAAGTAATATGCTAAGGGCAATGTGGGAGGATGCAAGCCTCAGGCAACTGCAACACAGACTCAGAATCATTACACATGGCAGCTTTGCATAGTTGCCTCAAGGCCATCATCTCTACAGAAAATTCACTATGATTCTGTGAAACCATAAAGGTCTAAAACAGTTTTGCAGCATGTGGCTAAATGCTATTTAAAAAAAAATAGATGAAATTATCAATGAATGTTGTACTTTTAGTAAGTTCATGGCGCTGCATAAATCATATCCCATTTTATTCAGTAAGAGGTAAAGATAAAATCAAATGTCACAGAGAACAAAGCTTGCACAATCTAGTGAATATCAACAGCATGCAATAATCACAAGACCTTTCTTATTCTTTTATTTGAATAGTAATGAGACATTTTTTTTCCAACACCAGTTCTCTCCTCATCGGCCATACAGCCAGATACAGGCCAGACTAAAGAAGAACCCAGGATTCAATCTGGGTCTCCCACATGGGTGGCAGGCACTATCTAATTATGTGATCTTGGGCTGTTTTCTCATCATAAAATCTGATATGGTATAATCGAATTTATACTTATTAAGTGGGTTTAGTAAGGAACATGTGCAAGCGACTTTTAAGTGTCTTGCCTAAAATAGCAAGAATTTAATACACATCATCCTCATCTTTAAAAAATAAATTTTTGCCTTGCATGCGTCAGGATTTCATATGGGTACCAGATCATGTTTCAGCTGCTCCACTTCCCATCCAGCTCCCTGTTTGTGGCCTGGGGAAAGCAGTAATGTATGGCACAAGCCTTGGGAAACCACACACTCTCATGGAAGATTCAAAACAAGCCTCTGGCAACTGGCTTCATATTGGCTCAGCTCCAGCCATTGCGACCACCTGGGGAGTCAACAAGCTGATGGAAGATCTTTCTCTCCATATCCCTGTTCTCTGTAAATCTGTCTTTTCATATAAAATGAATAAATTTTGAAAATAATATGCGTAAGTATTTAGAAAGTGGGGAGAAATGGTGAAGAAAACTGAATCTATAATGATCCTAGCTAATTCACTAATGAATCTTCACTTGAACTCTTGAAACCAAAACAAACAGAATGTCAGAAAGGGGAGGGACCTGACATTCAATATACCACTCTCTCATTCTATGCTCCTCTCAGACTTGTCTTCACTGTAACAGCAATGGTAACACCAGTTAACATTGACTTCATGCTTATCAGTGTCAAGCACTTGACAAACATCCCTGAATGCTGTCTCCACCTCCCTGTGACAGGCACTCCCAGTGGACAGCTACTGTCAACAGTTCCATCTCTGCTCTTCCTTCTAACTGCTCCAAGTTTACAGCCACTTCACTTCCTCATCATGCAGTTCCTCTGCAGGCATGGACAACCAGTTCTCCGGATGACCCTTTCCTTAATTTGTACCAATGTTGACAATCACTTAATAGAACCCTCAATTTAAGAACTAGAAAGGGCTTTAGCTAGCTCTTTTCCCAATCCAATTTTTTTTGACAATTGAGTAAAATGGTCCAGAGACCTTTCTGTCTCCTCTAGATAACAAGGGACAATCCAATGTCCCAAAATGTAAATACATAAACATGAGCATATGCACCAAGTTCCTCTAACCCTCTCACCCTCTTCTAGGCTACTTTTGAGGAAGAAAAGTGCTGAAAGAAGACTGGGAATAACCACCATTTGATAATATATTATTTCTCCAAATGGAATGTAATACCACTACTGGTTTTTATATACTATCATTTTCATAAATTTAAATCCCCAGCATTATCTTCCTGAAGGAAAAGCAAAATTTATTTTAAGAAATAGAAAAATCTTTAAGGCAATTTGAAACTTACCCAATTATGGTGGGCTTTTTTCTTATAATGAATAACCTAAAAAACAGAAGGCTTGAAAATTAATTTTCTTAAACAGAAAGAACATCTTGTCTTTAACATAGGAAGTAACTCACAAGCTAAGAAATATTTCACACACATTTTGTGTCAGTAAACACAACTTTATGCAAAATTTCATGGACACATCATCAATTGTGTGTAAGTACGCTAAAAGCAGCTAAAATTTGTAACCCATACGCTTTTGGTTTATGCTCCCTTGTCAGTAATCAGCCACAAAAGGAACTGTCAATGAACAAATAACTAGCCTGGCTGAATACGAGACCCAACTGGAGATTGAGAATTTAATTTCTGCAATGTAATTCCTTTTGCCAAAGACAGGAGACATGGTGACATGAGATTTTTTTTTTTATTACACATGCTTTGAAGCACTGAAAACATGGAAATGACTGAATACCACATGTAACACTTCAAGCAAGATATAAAACTAGTAAAGGAATCACTTTTCCCTTTCCATTCTACATAAAGGCACAGGTTCCAATAAATATATACATACACACCTAAACATGCACAACACACACACACTGAACAAAAACACACACAAACTTACCCTTCTTTGGTAATAAACTGTGGTTCTTTGCACTCTTTCTTCAGTATCTTTGGCTTTTTTACTATTTAGAAGATATAAATTTTCAATTATTCATATGTAATCACTGTAATAAAACAATATACTCTACTTCAAAAATATACATTACAACATCAAGAACAATCTGTTTCCTGGAACAAATAACAAAAACTGCACATGCTGAGAAATACCAAATAGAATTCTCATTTTTTCTTAATCTAATGTAAATTCTACTCATTAAACTTTCCTAACACAATATTTCATACAGTATTGTAAGTACATGATGGAAGATTCATCCAGATATTCATATGTTTAAGTGGCTATAGGAAATGAATTATTTCCTTCACAAATTTACATATCTTATCAGACTACCCTTATGGGACTGATGCTGTGGCACCGAGGGCAACCTACATCACCTGATAACTATATGGATACCTGATAATCCTAGCTACTACTACACATACAATCCAGCACTGTGATAATGTGCTTGAAAAAGTAAAGGATGCTGGCTATCTGCTCATGCCCTTGTATCAACGGGGGAGTTCCAAAAGAAGCTTTTGGCTCCTGGTTTCAGACTGACCTAGCCTTGGGTGTTGTGACCATTTGGAGAGTTCATCAGCAAATGGAAGGGTCATTCTCTCCCATTCTGTGTGCTTGTGTGTGTATTCCTCTACCCCTTCCTCCAGGTTCTATCTTTGTTCTGTCTTTCAAGTGAATAAATCAAAAAGAAGACAAATCAGCTACTTCCTTCATTAAAATAAGACCCAACCCAACCTTACTCTTCCTGACATATAATGAAGTACTCCAAGCATGCAAATACAGCTGAATATTACCCTTTGTGTTTAGGCTTTCCAGTAACCCCTTTGGCCAAGTAAGGAAAGCTCCAAGGTAAAAACTAAACTTACTCTCTTATAAACCAATACAAATAATACTAATTATGGCTCATACATTCCTTTATACCATAATTGCTGAATCCCTTCATGTCCTACAAATTCTTCTCCATTGGAACTAAAGAGTAAAAACCTTGAAATAAGTGGCTATTCATAAATTCCTTGATGTAATAGGTAAGATTGGTCCATATTCAAACATGAGATTAAAAATCACATGCATAAGGGTATTGTTTTTCCTTTTAAGGTTTTGTATGGAATTTCATAACAAGAACTTGGAATTTAAAAGTAGCAAAATATGCTCCTTATATTTGGCTGCTTAGATATTTTTCTGGCTATTCTCCAGGACACAAAAGAAAAGCGTTAATACCAATATAAGTCAACTCCTCTTGTAGATTGGAAATTTGCATCAACAATTGAGATGGTTTTTTCCTCTATGTGGCAGTGTTCTTCGATCAGCAGGTTCCTTAAAGCAAAAGTGAAAATTTATAATACATTCAAGGCATGTCATAAAGACTTATAGTGTTTTAACTGTATCAAAACTGGAGTGTCCCATACAAATATCCACAATTACAACTGCAAACACAACATGAAAAACTAATATGCAAGCATTTCTGATGTAGAATTAACATTACACACTCAAATTTCAAAGCAACAACTCTTAAAATAATCCTGCTATCACAACAGTCTCCAGAGTTTTGTGAATGAATTTGGCACAGAAATAAGATTGAAAAGGTAAAAAAAAATGAATATAACAGATAACTTCTAGATAACAGACTCAAATCAGCATTAGACATCAGCAAAACCATAAAGACATACATGAGGAATCAAGAGTGATCCTGACAACCTCTTAACAGGAAGACAAATGCACAGAGCGGGAGTTGGGGGGAGACCCCAAAGTGGAGCAGGTGGACAGGAGGAGGCGTGTATACCAACCCTGGATCCTCACCAAGGACTACCAGTACAGGCACCAAGAGCTATATCCCAACTGCCAAAGAGACCACGGGGAATTGGACTGCCTTCGTAGGGCAATAACTCCATCCTCACAGGCCAAGATCTCCCACATGGGATGGAAGATGCCCAGATCCTTCCTCACTGGATCTAATGTCATTGGAACAATAGCCAGGAGCCCTAAGCAGTCCGCAGAAAGAGAAGAATAGTAAATGCCCTTCAAACCTCAAGAAGGGAGCTTTCTCTGCTCCATACTTAGTTCCAGCTTTGGATCACAATCCTCTCTTGCAATGATCATCAGGGTCGCTCTGGAGCTACTTCCCCCCAAAATTAGATTAGATAGTCAGAGAAAAACAAGGAAAGCTTAGAACCAGACAGGAAAAGGTCAGCTAGGACTCGCATATACCTTACTAGGTAGGACACAAAGATAAGTTACTCCTCACTAAGGGATTGAAGATTTCTCTGTACACCCCTCCTAAAAGTGTTCTGTACCTCAACTGTTGACATATGGCTTGTTAGAGTTATAAGCCAGTTTAGACTATCTAAAATCTGCCAAGTTCAGTAAAAATTATGCTTCAACACTATAAACTGCTAAATACTAAAATGAAAATAGACATGAGACAGCTGAATAGTACCCTATAGCCATTTTAAGGTGTATAGCAGCCAGCTGTGTATAAACTAAAATAGAAATGTCAATGAAGTAATCACAGGATGTGGTTAAAAACCTGTATCTTCTAACATACTGGTTACTCAATACCATGTCAATTAACTCCATAATGCTGTGAATTATGGTTGATGTTATGTTGTGTCTTTAATTGATCGGGATGATATTCTGCCAGCTCTACATTCTGACGAGAGATGGTCTCCCCAAGAAACTGTTGAATTTATCTGGACAATAAGATGCTGGACTCTATATGCATGGTACATGCTTACAATGAAAGAATCTTGACTGGATTTTTCTATTACTGCAACAAGGTGGAGGAATCCACCCTGGGGGGAGGGTGTTGGGGGTATCCCAGAGCCTTAGAAATTGTGTCACAAAATGAAATGCAATTTAAAAAGGTAAAATAAATGAAATAGCTCATATAAATATTATTTACCCAGACTCCTATATAAAGCAGCATTATATTTAATACATAGGAATCAGCCACAACAAACCATGTTTAAGTCATTTCAGATTGGTGGTTAATGATGTGGGAATCCCACATGCAGATCCTCAGCCAGGCACAACGCTGGCTGCTGCAGGTATGTGAAGTATCAACCAGCAGATGCAAGGTTCCTCTCCCTCTCTCTAATGCTGATTTTCAAATAAGTAAATGAATAAATCACTTTAAATCAGTTTTAAGTCTTGAGTTGGGTTCTGGTTCAAATCAGAAAGAAGCAAAATCATAGTGTAACCAAAGTAAATTTTGCTAGTAGTATAATAGGTACTGCCTATTTCTATTAGTGTGCATACTACTTGCAATAGTATGTACTTATAGAGCCCTGAGATTTTAACATAAGCTGCTCATACGCCTTGCAGATACTCATATTAATGACTAAATCAGCTCTGCAAGGAGGGTACCTGATATCTGAGATGCCTAGTACCCAAATGGGAGACCAGGATGAAGCTTGTGTGCTCCGCCCCAGCCCTGATTGTTTCAGCTATCCTAGGAGGAAAACAGTAGACAGATCCCTGTCCCGGGAGAAGCTCTGCGGCCTTGCAGACTTCTGCGGAATGAACCAGCAGCTAGTTCATTTTCCTTGCTCTCTTTTCGATAAAAATTTCTTTCTCTTTCTCTCAGTAATTCTGTGTTCCCTGGTGTCTAACTTTAGACCATAAAAGGAATTAAGAAAATACTTTATCAGTGAAAAAAATCCTGAAGTGTTAAATGTTGTATCATTACTTCTAAGGAAAACACAAGGCAACATTTCCGCTAGATTATAACAAAACACTTTCATCAGTCAACCAATACTTACTATATTCTAGGTTTGCTTTAGTTTTGATTCATTTAATATAGTATTATTGACTTATTAACATTGGGCTCAGAGTCAATAGCACTGTAATTAATGCCAAAACAAAATTTATCTGACACAAATACATTCTCTTTAAAAAAGAAAAAACATAGTATCCTGCTTATGCGTAGGACAGTGCAAGACATTTCAGTACTATGCTTGGGCATCACAGTAAGTAGCTAATTAACTAACAACCACCAAAATGTGGCACAATACATACTGTGTATTAGACACTTGCTTATACAATGAGAACAGAAATTTATTTTGCCTTGCTCAATCTCAGCTGGAAATATATGCTTAATAAATTACTAGTTAGCACTGATGTTATATTATAAATGTTAGCAAGCAGAAATTTTTTTTAAAAACAGAAAGTAAAAATTAGCCAGGAATGGCCTTCATTAATTTACTAATTAATTTACTAATGAAGCATCAAATTGTATTTTATTGCCCTTTATGATAAAAAACATGAGCTACAGGAAATATTTCATAATTGAAATTTCTGCGGCTGGCACTGTGGTATAGTATGTTAAGCCTCTGCCTGTGACACCAGCATTCCATATGGGTGCTTGTTTAAGACCTGGCTGCTCCCAGGTCTCCAACAAAGCTCCCTGCTAATGCAGCCTGGAAAGCAGCACAAGAGTGCTTAGGTAGATGTGCTCCTGCACCCAACTGGGAGCTCGGAAAGAAGCTCTGGGTTTCTGATTTCAGTCTCACATGTATTCAGGCTTGCATAGCTTTAGACACAAAACAGGAGAACACCATTCACTCATGAAGTTTACCTTAAATGTGAAAATGCTTTTAATAAATAATCACAGGACAATAAGGACAACAAACAAAAATAATAAGGGCTATGAAAAAATATAAAAGATAGAATAGGGAAAGGGGTTTCACATGTTTTAATTAGGTAGCCAGGGAATGATTCTTTGAAGGCAACAATGGAAATGGGAAGATCTCATGAAGCTATTGGAATGGCTCAGGTATAAGTGGTAATGGATTACACCAGAATAATAGTGGGGAGTTTGGAGAAAAACAGTCTGTAAATCAACCAAATGGAAAAAAAAAAAAAAGATTCTTTGCACGATATACAACAGATAGTGGAATAACATCCAAGATTTACTGAGAGCTTCAGATACTCAAACAACAGCCAAACAACTACATTAAGAAGTAGATGGAGGACATGAGCAGGAATTTATCAAGAGGATAAATTCAAATGGCTGGCAGACATATGAAAAAGCGCTCAGGCTCCATAGCCATTACAGAAATGCAAATACAAACCATACTGAGGTCCCACCTCACTCCAGTGAGAAAGACCTACACACAGAAATCTACTAATACCACCTCTCATAAGACTGAGGGAAAAGGGCACACCTGCTCCATTTTGGTGGGTCAGAGTACCTTGTCCAGCCACTATGGAAATCAGTATGGAGAGTGCTTTGGCTAGTGGAAACTGATCTGCCATATGATTGAGTATCCCACTTCTGGGAATATATCCACAGGAATTGAAATCTGAGTATGAGAAAGTGGCCTGCATACCTATATTTACAGCAGCACAATCCACGATAGCAAAGAAATGCAAACAATCCAGATATCCTTGAAAGTGGAATTGTTTATACTAAACAAAAACAATGTGGTGCTTCTACTTTTTGGAATATCGCACAACTATAACAATGAACTTGAACCATTTGTACCAATCTTTCATTTGTAAATGCATATAAATAGGCCAGTCTACCCCCAAAATAAATAATATGTTTCCTCTGATGAGAAACACACACACAAAATACAAACAAAAAAAATAGAAATATGGGTAAAAAGTATATACATATATTATCATAGATAAATTTTACAATGGAGGAGAGCACACCAGTAATGTAAGATATGTTTTGGCTCACATCTCTACTTGCAGGCCCCGGTCTCCCAAGGGTTAACTCCACAGCTCAGCTGTTTCTCAAAGGTGTAACAGGAAGGGCAATCATGGCCTGATACATTTAGCCCGTGGCTTGACTGCAATTTCCCTTCTTCCTGCTTCCCTTTTTGCACGTCCTTGGGGGAGCTTAGGTGTTGCTTAACCATTGGGAAGATCCTGGGAGGGGCCAAGCAGACTATATAAGAGAGTTCGACTTTGAATAAAGGCTTCACTTCACAAGAATGAGCCTCTCTGTGTTGTGTGTGTTGCCTGTCTTGTCTGTCTCATAACCCTAGTCCCTCCGCTCGGCTCGGGGTACGTGGCAATGCAGGCGTTGCCAACAAATGGAGGTCCCACCGAGATTGAGAAAGAGAGGATACAGCGAAGGGTCGTCCCAGGAGGCTGGCCAGCAGGTAAGTGGGACGTATTGTAAGTCTTTCCTAAACTGGTAGGAAAGGGAGTTTTATTTTGAAATGTAGGTAGGTTTCAGATTTATTTTGAAATATAGTTAACATTTTAAATTTATTTTGAAGTATAGTTAGGTCTTGGTGTTTAATTTATCCTATGAAAAGAACAATAAAATGGGTTCAGCCTTCTCCCAGGATAAATTGGTCACTGAGCTTGAAGAACTTCTGCATAAAATGGGGAACGCTGTTGGTCAGAACAGGCTGACTGGAGAATTAAGCAATTCAAGCAACGTAGATATAAAATAAATAAAGGAAAAAAAGAGAAAAAAAAAAGAGTAAGAAAGAAAAAAAAAGATTAAAGAAAGACATGTGTTCTGTAACTGAATTTAACAAAAATAATCTGATATAAAGTGGTCCACTGTTAAATTAACTTAAAGCATGAGAGGAACCTAAGAACTTGTTTCATAAAATATCTCCAGGTTAAAGTATGTCAAAGAAGAGATTGGAAATCACAAAGTGTTTTAAGAGTTGTATGTCGCTGTTCTGATGTGTTTGGTGTTTGTGCATATGTTTAGTCATTACTGTTGGTGTTCTATTATTTTTGTCTGGACAAAAACTAGATTTTGTTTTAATATTCTTTCTCCAGTTCTGTCTTTGTCTTGAGTTGTTAAGTTTTTCTTGTTCAGAATTGGGTGCGTGTGTGACTGACTGACAGACGAGATGGGACGGACCATGACTTACTCCCTTTCTCCTAGTGAATAATTTTAGAGAGATCTAACAATTTAACAGGCCCTGGGCAGACCAGACTCCTCACCTCCACTGAGAAAAAGTTCCTACGATGTTTTCTTACTGTTTGATCCTCAGCTTACAGTGTTGTCCTGGTATTGATCAAGTCTAACAAGTTAAACTCATTTAGACCTCTAAATTCTTCAGAGTTCTAAACCAATTCTCATGACTTTGAGGGTTCTAGTAGGATCCCTGGAGTAGTGGGATTTGAGTAGTGTAATTGTCATTCAAAATAATTTGGATTATCAGATGTTTCCTAATTATGAAACTGGCCCTGATTGTGAATTAATTGTGTTCTTATTCACAAAGAAGTATGTGAAATTTTGCCTTACAGGAAAACAAAAAATTCGTTTAAATTTTATAGTGAAAATGGCTATGATGTGTATGATTTCTGAATTTTGCCTTTATGATAATGGAGTTGGAGTCTGATTCCTTGAGAGAAACAACAGTGTTTTAACATCCCTTTTTTAGTTATTTTCACCTTATTGTTAACTAACTTCAGTAAGTTTCTAGGTAATCTCCTAAGACAACAGCCAAATTATCTCTAATTTTTAAAGCTGTTAAAAAATTGAAGCATTGAACTTTAGTTTCTGTTCAATTGGTAACATTGTCAATTGTCTTCAGCTTCAGTAAGCTTTATTCTTGTTCCCACCTTTGAATTTGGTAAAATTCTTTAAAAGTTATGAGAAGAGCTGTGATTTCAAGTGTATTTTCTGTTATGTATTTACTTGGAAATGTTTGGGTGATCATTTACATGTCATAAAACTTTTTAATATGTTATTGTTTGAATCGGTTTGGATATTTTAAGGCCTCTTGGCATATTTAATATGCTTAACTCTTCTGGTTTTGGGATTTCTAGATGGGCCCCTAGCAGCCTCAACGTCAGAAGAATGTTTCAAAGGTTGTATCTTTTAGTTGGAAAAGTTAATTGTAGGACAGACAACTGATTCAATCTGTCAAAAAAAAATGGGGGGCATTGCTAAAGTTTAATAGTAAACTATAGGTATGGTTTATTCAGATTATTAAAAGCAGAATGTGATTCTAAACAATTGGTAACTTACACACTTAAGAGAAATCTCAAGTAGCTGTTACAATGGCAGTTTTGCTTTATAATGTGTTACCTGATATACATGCACATGTTTATGTGGCAAGCTATATAGTCTATCTTAATTGGCTTATAGATGAAAATCTTCATAAATGTGAATTGCTAAGCTAAATCCTTTTGAAAATAATGTATGGATACATGATTAAGCTCTTGGAGAGGCATGTCTATTTCTGTTTTCTCAGGACCTACAAAGGCTGTGCGGCTGAATAGTTCCAAAAGAGAAGCCTCTCAAGTACCAGGATGTACATCAAACACCTGATGACTTGTGCCTTCTAGCAGGAACCACTAGATGGACTGACCCCCAACTGCTGCTGTTACCCAACTGCACCCCCCACTCACCAGGAAGAAGCTAAGAGCAGATGACTACGCCCCTTTCCCTAAGAACTTTTGGGGTCCATTTCTGTTTGGAAATGTAAGAGCCAGATGGGATGATAGGTAGTTGGAGTCTCCAGTTCCTGCTAAAACTGTTTGTGGTATACATGTAACATTTTAGCTCTGTGAGATTCTTGATTGTTAGTATTATCAACAATATTTGAACATTGTTAAGACTCGAGTGACCCTCATGTTGGGAAAGTTATTGTATATGGTATTAGACTGGCAGCAGGGATATTAAAGGAATGGAGCGGAATTTTGGCCATGGGGCTGATGGCTATAGCCATGATTGTAGTACTGTTTACTCTTCTTTGCCGCCTATGCAGGCAACAAGCCCGGGAGCAGGTCATCATTTGACAAACTATGATGACTTTAGCTGTGGAAAACCCTAGAGCTCGAGTCCGGTTGAGCATGATGTGTGATGGGCAGCCAGAGACGGGGAAGATCTGGCAGAGCTGATGACCAACCTAAGACAGGGATCCCACGTGCCCTGAGTGGGACTCCCCATGACGGGTAAGGCGTCAACTGACTGCTGGACAACCTAAGACAGGTGTCCATTCAAAAACAAAACGGGGGGACATGTAGGCCCCGGTCTCCCAAGGGTTAACTCCACAGCTCAGCTGTTTCTCAAAGGTGTAACAGGAAGGGCAATCATGGCCTGATACATTTAGCCCGTGGCTTGACTGCAATTTCCCTCCTTCCTGCTTCCCATTTTTGCATGTCCTGACTGCAATTTCCCTCCTTCCTGCTTCCCTTTTTTGCACATCCTTGGGGGAGCTTAGGTGTTGCTCAACCATTGGGAAGATCCTGGGAGGGGCCAAGCAGACTATATAAGAGAGTTCAACTTTGAATAAAGGGCTCACTTCACAAGAATGAGCCTCAGTGTGTTGTGTGTGTTGCCTGTCTTGTCTGTCTCATAACCCTAGTCCCTCCGCTCGACTCGGGGCTTGAAGTACATGGCGATGCAGGCGTTGCCAACATCTACTCCCAACTGAAAGGAGGACTCCAAGTAAGGCTGTCAAGTACACCTTGACAGTCTGATACTAGATTCTATATCATTAGTTATACCTACAATCCCATGATACACTTCAATAACAAATGATGCACTCATGACTGTTGCTAAAGAGTAATACTATTATAATGTAGGAGAAAATGGTATGAGGGAGAATAAGGAGAGAGGAAGGAGAGTGGCTCTGGGAATCTCCAAATAAACACATAAAAAGAGGACAGAGACCATAAAAATGGTCAAAATACATTTATAAAATGAGTAAAAATGTTATTATTTGCCTCCCTGAATTCAATCAATCTTATTTTCAAAGAAGAAAGGGTAATGATTAATGATAGCTCATTGTAGTGGAGGCAGGATCAAATCATATCATCTAGAAGCTAGTTGCACCTAAAGAGACACTGTAGGTATTTGAACAGTTGCCAAGAGAAGACAGGTCTCTGGAGAGAGCAGGTTATAGAAGCAGAGTATGTCTCCAGTCTCTCTCTGATTCCTGGTCCACTCCATGATAAATGGTCTCTATACTGTTCTCCACCCTCACCAAGCCAGAACCCATGAGGCCACTCAATTTTGGACAGTGTATTTCCATCACATTAGGCAAAATAAATCTTCCTTAATAAGAAGTTCCTCTCTAGCATTTTAAATATCATAAAGCACATACTAATATAATATGTGATAGAAAAACTGATGTCAAGTATAGCTTGAGGAGTCACTCTGATCAACTAGACAAATGAATCTTTAACTAAGACATGGAATACCTGAGCAGGAGCAATCAGCACAAAGGAGAAGTGTCAGCTTTATACATATTAGAGGTGGATGCACGCAAAATTGAATGAAAATGAATCCCCTGACCCAGTCAGATAGCATCAATTATGATCTAATTTAAGGTGATCTTACACTGAGGAATCACATGATAATGATTACACAAGCCTCTGTGTAATAGCTTAGAATCTCAAATATTACTTTCAACACTTTCTTGAGGAAAGTATTTAAGAATAATATTTTATAAATGAATCATGAATTGTGAATATCCAGTGATCACAGAGACTGAACATGAAATATATGCTTAGGCTTTGAATTCTAGCTTTCTTGCCATCCAGTGCAGCTTGTCATATAATCCTTGTCACTGGTGACATTTCATTTTCTTTATACATTTCAGTCATTATTGTAAGTTTTTCCTGAAGCTTCTTAATTTTTGCCTTTTCACTGCAAAGATATTTGTTCAGTCTGGAGATTTCACCATGATTCTCAATTAGTAATCCTAGATTAGATGACAAGCTCAGTTCTTATTAAATACTGAAAAACATAAAAGCATAAATAAAAATCTGTGAAGTTTCTTTCAAATTATATGCCAGTGACCTAAGTATTTAAAATGAGTAAATACTTCACAGTGAAAAATGCTGGATTCACTGAAATTTCATTATTTATCCCTATAATATTACCTAATTAAGAAAGTAACAATAAAAGAGCTAAAAGTTGTTGAGTGTTACCACTAAGAAACTTACTTTTTGCTTTTATATACATTTTCTTTCTTAAAGTTATAGAGTTCTCTCTCGGCAAACCGAGCTGCCCACTGAAAAATAACAAAAGATGGAGAAACATGCAGACAAATGTTAGATGAAAATGAGCATGAACATCCCAGAGCATACAAATATCACTGTCAATATATGCATCCACTTTAATGAAATGCAGATAAAAAGGAAATATTTCAGGAAAGCAGATGACATGGACCTAAAACTGGAGATGACTTGTGCACTTGCCAATGAATGCTGCTCTCTGATGTGAGATGGAGGACTGTTTGATCAGTCAAGTAATACACTAAGGGCAATATGGGAGGATGCAAGCCTCAAGCAACTGCAACACAGACTCAGAATCATTACACATGGCAGCTTTGCATAGTTGCCTCAAGGCCATCATCTCTACAGAAAATTCACTATGATTCTGTGAAACCATAAAGGTCTAAAACAGTTTTGTAGCATGTGGCTAAATGCTATTTTAAAAAAAAATAGATGAACTTATCAATGCATGTTGTACTTTCAGTAAGTTCATGGCGCTGCATAAATCATATCCCATTTTATTCAGTAAGAGGTAAAGATAAAATCAAATGTTACAGAGAACAAACCTTGCACAATCTAGTGAATATCAACAGCATACAATAATCACAACTATTCATGCGGAAAGGTTAACTTCATTCTGAGAGATCTCCAGATCATCTGCAATCATTTTGTGAAACTTTGGACTGGGAAAACCATATGATTCACTAGGCTTATCACATAGGTAAAGTCACTTAACTTATAATTTATTACAAATAAAAAGAAGTTAGTCTGCATTTTTTTAAAAAAAAGTAATACTCTGATATTTATTAAAAACTGAACTGCATGGTAGAAGTAGCTTGGACAAAGAATAAACCACATAAATATTTACAAAATGAATCACTTACTTGCAAACCTTGCCATCATACAAAAATACATGTGTGTAAATATTATTCCTACATATAACAAATTTTTACTAAGCAATTATGCCAAAGATAATTACTAAAATAAACTATTGAACTATTGATATGTGGAACCAAAATTATTTGAAATTACAAGGGAAAGAATGAAAAAACAAACAGGCTAGTTAAACATCAATTTTAAATAAATTAGGAAATATTTGTTTCAAAAAATACCTGTAATACATTAAGAAATAAGGCTCAAAGTTGGGCTCTTTGCCATAGTCCATGCCCACAATGATGGACATATGGTTGTTTACGTATTAAGTATTATAGTAATAATATAGGGGAACTTAGTAGGGGAAGGCAGCTTGGGAAAGGGGTAAGGAAAATCCCAGGGACTATGGAATTGTAGCATAAAATGATAATAATGGAAACAGTTTTAGAAAGGCAAAAAAAAAAAAATACCTGTAACACATTAAGAAATAAGGCTACAAAGATAGGATATAATGTACTCCACTTTTTGTGAAATGCTCATATGAGCTTTTAGTAATCTTTTTGGCACCACAGGACTAGAGACAACATCCCGTATCAGAGTGCTTGGTTCAAGTCACGATTACTCTAAGTTTCATACAGAGCTTCCTGCCAACATGATCTAGAGGCAAGGAATGATGGCTCATTGCAACCACATAGGAGATTGCCTGGGGAGTTCCTAGATCTGGATACAATCAGATCTAGGCACATTTTGTGGCCATTTTGGACAGTTAACCAGCTGATGGAAGAATGTTCAATGTCTGTCTCTGCATCCCCCTCTATCATTCAAAAAAGTAAACAAATCTTAGAAATATTTTCAAAATGTGTGTAAATGCATGCTTCATACATCATCTGAATTTGGGTTGCCATATTCATTTATATGGGGAGGCAGATCGATGGAATAAACTCCTTATACTCTGCTTCACTTCCCAAATCCAACATGAGCTAGAACTGGGCCAGGGCAAAGATGGAAGTAAGGAAATTGAAGGAGTTGGATGCAGTTAGAGCAGTTCAACCGAAATACCCTGTGTGTGATGGAGGCATTCTAACTGGCATCCAAAATGCTAGGTCTGACAACTGCCCTGGTCTGAACTTTCAGTAAGTATATGCTATTTGTATTGGATGTGACAAATACTGCTTCATTGAGATCTAGATGGCACACTTTCTATGTCTTTTAACATAAAGTCACACATACTAAATAATAAATTCAATGCAAAGTGATAGAAAAGAGGTACAAGACTTAATGGATGTTATTTCACAATATTTTCAAGTATAGTGCCTAGAACTTCAAAAGGCTCAAAAGTAGCCTCCTCCAAGGCCTCTGCGTCAGGGACTCCCCAAAAGACATCTCATAACCTCATGCAGTTTCTCTGCAGCACAGACCAGTGTTCACAATCACCCACTTCTTAATACATAGTGAGTAATTCAATAAATATTTAAAGAACTCTGAATTTTAGAAGTAGAAGGGGCTTAGTTAGTGCTTTATCCACCCCATTGTTTACAAATGATTAAAATGACTCAGAGAACTTTTTCTTCATAAATAACAAGGGGCAATCCAATGCCCCAAAATGTGAATCTGTGACCATGACATCTGTATATGCACATCAAATCCTTCTGACCCTTGCGGACAGTATAGGTTCCTTTCGAAATAGCAATGCGCTAAAACCAGACTGTATGGATTGGTCAATGTGTTAATTCTCACAAGAAGGGTAATTCCACTTTTGGTGCAATTAAAACAAAGTCATCCTTTTACATAGCAATTTATTTTCTTCAATTTAGTTGCTCAGTATTATCTTCTAGAAGTAAAATCATAACAATTTATAAAAGGTAAAAAGCTTTAAGGGAATTTGAAACTTACCCAATTGTCATTTGCATTTTTCTTCAAATAAATAATCTGAAAAACAGAATATTTTAAATGTATACTTTTTTATATAAAAACGTACCTATCATTTGCTTAAGAAATAACTCAAAAGTCAAAACTATTTCAAACATCACTAACATCACTAACAACAATATTGATGCAAATTTTCATGTACACATCACATATTATAGGGATATGTGAAGACAATTAAAATATAATTGATAAATTTCCACTTTAGGTTCTTTGGTCAATAATTTCCATTTGTGAAATCTAATGTACTTTTAAAACAAGGCAGGAGACATGATACCTAAGAAGTCTTGTGTCAAGCTCTTTGAAATCCTGAAACTGTTGAAGTGTCTTAGCCACATGTGACATTCTAAACAAAACTGTGCAACTGAGAGAGAAATTCATTCTCTTTCAATTCAATTTCAACTCTCAGGTGTTAGGACCTACATCTATGCATGTGCTTGCACACATATACCTAAACATGATTATAATGAATGGTACATGCACACGCACACCTGTACTTGGTAATAAAGAATGGTGCATGCACGCACATGTACACACACACACTCCTGTACCTAGTAATAAACAACGGTGCATACATGCAAGTGTGCACACACATACCTGTACTTGGTAATAAAGAAAGGTGCTTGCATGCATGTGTGCATACACACACACACATGCCCCTGTACATGATAATAAAGAGTGGTACACACATGCACATATGTACACACATATGTATACCTGGTAATACTGAATGTTACACAGAGACACACACACACACCTATACCAGTTAATAATGAATGGTACATACATGTACGTGTGCACACACATACTTGTTCCTGGTTAATAATGAATGGTACATGCATTCATGTACACACACACCTGCACCTGGTAATAATGAATGGTACACACATGTGCATGCACACATCACACACACCTGTATTTGAAAGTAATCGATTGTTCTTTCCAATTCTTGTTCAAGGACTTTGATTCTCCAGCTAGGAAGAAAAATTATGTTGACATTAATGTATAAGCACAATACACAGGACACGCATAAAACATTATTTACATCAAGAGTTTTCTATTCTAGGGGAAAAAACTCCCCAAACTATACATATTGAGAAATAAACATGAGGAAATATCACATTCTTTATAAAACATGATCCTGATTAATATTCCAGTATTTAGGCACTCCTGAAACAAAGGTCATCCCAAGATTTAGACTGTGTGTATATCTGCTTTAAGTATGATCATGGGAGGCTTATTCAGACATCTGAAATCTTAATGTGATCATAGGAAATCAATGTCCTCTATTTGGCAGATGTTATTCATTACCGTTGCAAGATTAAAATGATGGGGACAGCACTGTGACAAGGTGGTCAAAGGCTGCTATCGTATCACCCACATCTCTCATGGGCACTCATTTAAGTTCCAGTTGCTCCACATTATCAAGCTCCCTGCTAATGTGCCTGGGAACACAGAGAAAAATGGCCTATGTATTTGGGCCCATGTAGGAGACCCACAGGAAGCTACTGGCTCCTTGTTTCATACTGTCGCACCCACAGCTGTGGTCATTGAGAATGAGTCAGCAGATAAAAGGTTCATTCATTCATTCTTTCTCCAATTGTTTCTTGCTCCATGTTTCTCCTCTTTCTGTTTGCTGCCTTTCAAACACATGAATCAAATAAAAACACTAACAAGCTAAATCTTTCAGATAAAATCCAACTTTGCTTTTTGTGTGATGCACAACTATTCATGTACAGCTGAACCTTGCCTTTTGTCTATAGCTTTTACATTATTTCCTTGGGCCAAGTGAAGAAGGATCCAAGGTTAAAGCTGGACTTAAAGTCTTGTAAACAAAGCTGGCTCAGTGGCATAATGGGATAAGTCTATGTCTGAGGCACCACAATCTCATATAGGCACCTCATTCAGATTACAGGAGCTCTACTTCTGGTCATGTGGCCAAGCTAATCTAACTTTTAGCTGTCTTTCTGTACCTCTAACTTTCAAATAAAATAAATACATGAAAAGAGACTTTTAAACAGCCTAGTGCGATGGCTAAATCTTCACCTTGCAAATCATAGGGATCCTATATGGGCACCAGTTCCTATCTCAGCTTTTCCACTTCCCATGCTGCTCCCTACTTGTGGCCTGGAAAAGGAGGGTGGCTCAAATCCTCTGGACCCTACAACATGTGGAAGACCTAGAAAGCTCTTGGATTTGGATCAGCTCAGCTCTGGCTATTGCAGCCACTTGAGTGATCCAGCCAATGAAAGATCTTTTCTCCTTCTATCTCCTCTCTGTAAATCTGCCTTTCCAAGAAAATTGAATACATTTAAAAAAAAATCTCATATACCTATCCAAGTAATATTAACTGTGCATTTTCTCTGATTTTTTCTCGCAGTGAGCTCTTAGCTACTCTCCAACCCACTAAAGAAAAAGCATTTAATACCGATAGACGTTGATCGCTTCTGTTTCACAGTTAAGAGTATCATCCACTTTGAAAAGATGATCTTCCTTCCTTAGTTGGCAATTTTCCTCTGTCATTAATTCCCTTAAGCAAAATATTACATATTTCCCTTAATAACACAGGATAAAACAATGAACTTTATTGCTGAACTATATCAAAATTGGTGATTCCCAAAAGTATTTTTGTACTTATCATTACAAACACAACATAAAACTGCTATATAAACATTCCTGGTGTAGTATTTAACATTATAAATTCAAATTTTAATGCAAACCATCTAAAATACTACTGCTATCACAACAGATGCCAAAGTTTTATGTAGGAATTTCATGTAGAAATTAGATTTAAAAGGTAAAAAAATGAAATTATGAGAATACATAACATTTATCCAGACTTCCCATATAAAGCAGCATTATATTTGTTACACAGCAGTCAGCCACAACAAACCATGTTTCAGTCATTTCAGATTGGTGGTTAATGATGTGGGAATCCCACATGCAGATCCTCAGCCAGGCACAGCACTGGCTGCTGCAGGAATGTGCAGTATCAACCAGCAGATGCAAGGCTCCTCTCCTTCTCTCTAATGCTGATTTTCAAATAAGAAAATGAATCACTTTAAATCAGTTTTAAGTCTTGAGTTGGCTTCTGGGTCTGATCAGAAAGTAACAAAATCATACTACACCTGAAGTAAATTATGTTAGTAGTATAATCAGTACTATTTTTATTAGTGTGCATACTTTTTGCAATGATAAGTGGCTTTTGAAGCCCTGAGATTGTACCAGAATCTATACTTAGGACTTATATGTAATGATCTTGCTTAAAGACTGAAACAACAGCACAAAAATTTTACAATCCATTAAACAAACTATATATATACGAATCCAAGAAACTAAGTCAGGTCTTATATCATGATAAATGCAGATAAATTCTTTTTTTTTTCTTTATATACATTGTATTTCTTACTTTGTTTACACAGTTGATTAGGGTGGGAAGTGTCCTGGATTAGGGGAAAGTAGATCAGACCATGGTTTCAAAATTTTTCTACTTTCTGTGTCTTGGAAAACAGGGAGTAGGACGGGAGTGACACCCATACTCTCAACTGCTTCAGTACCTGGGGATGGGGAATGGCCCTCCAATGCCATCCTAGGGTCCCCAGTGTGGCACAGGCTCAGAGGGTTCTGCTCCCTTTTACTAGGGAAATGCCAATAAAAACCACATTACCATTCCAGCAAATACCAGTGAGAATGGTCTACATTTGTCAATCTATTAACATGGCTGGCATGGATGTGGGAAGAATGGTACCCTGTCTCATCGTTGGTGGGAATGCAACCTAGTTCCACCCTTGTCAGTCAGTATGGAGAGTATTAGCACAACTGAAAGTGAATCTACCATATTGTACAGCTAGTCCAGTACTGAAAAATAAATCCAAATAATGTGAAAACTGCATATGAAAAAGTGACCTGCAACTTTATATTTATAGCAGCATGATCCACACAAGCGAAGGCATGGAAGCAACCCAGATGCCTTTCAAAAGATGGATAAAGAAATGGTAGCAGATCTGCTACATGGAATAATACTCAGACACTGAAATAAATCAAATTCTACAATTTCCTGCAAAATGGTCCCAGCTAGAGACCATTATTCTCAGTGGAGTCAATCCCCAATGAACAAACATCACATATTCTCTCTGATATGTCAACCTGCACGCAAAATCCCAGATCAAAATTTAGGCAAACATGTACATACATATATTTATCATTGAAGATACTTTCCAATATGCACCTCTTCTCCCTAGTAAGAGGACTCACAATGAAAATGTTAAATATATTTTGACCATTGCATATGAGATTTTCTAGCATTGTCTTTACCTACAAAGCCAAGATATGCTTAAATAGAAGAATCATAGACTTGTGATTGTTGCTATAGGACACTACTGTTATAATACAGTAGTTCAGAATGAGGTATGAAGCGGGAATCTCTGTGCCTATGGAACAGTATTATGAAAATACACATAATTGGACATAGGTATCATGTCACCAGGTAATTTACACCTTTGGAACCAACCCTATATATACTGTCTGGCCCAAACAACAGTGTGCAGTGCATGACTGTGATTGGATCCAGATGCAGGGCTCACAGTGATTCTTTGATACCACACTATCCATCTATGTTGCATGAAAGTTTCTTTATATCAGAAAAAGCACATGTTCCTTTTGGTACTGGCTTATTTTCAGTGAGCATAATGGTCAATGATTTGGGAACATTTTGTTGCAGATGGTAGAATTTCAGCCTTTCCAAAGGGTGAGTAGTATTCCACCCTAAAAAAAATGAATGAGCAAATCTATTTTTTTGCAAATCTAATCACAAATTAGAAACATTCAGTAATCACAGAAATTTGAGCATGTAATATATGACTCTGCTTTCAAAGGCTATTTTACTTTTCATCCAATGGAGCCAGCAATATGATTTTTATTACCTGCAAGTCGTTATGTCATTTCCTTGATATACTTCAGTCCTTATTGGGACTTCCTGTGGATGTGTCCCAATTTCATTTCCAAATCGTGTCCCTTCTGACTTCATAGGTATTTCTTCACTCTGATGATTTTCAATATGTTCTAAAGGAAATTTTAGGTCATAGCACAAGGAATATTTTAAGTTACATACTAACATCTGAAGACAGAAGTTACCAAATTAATAAGTTAATAACAAAATTAACAAAATTAAACTGGCTCCAATGATAGAATATCTAATGCTTGTCAATAGTTTAAAGATCTAGGTCTACTATTCTAAATATTGTCTCATATTTTTGTATACAATCCTCAAAAACTTCATTCAATCTAGCATCTATTATTCAACTTAGAAGCTAAAATCCATGAAGAAACAAAGGCTTTTAAAAGTATTTTATTTCAACAGTCCCTTAAACTATTTCCATAACAATCAGTAATATCCATTTCATCTAGTAAAGAATTTGCCTCTCAATAGTATTATAGTTATATTCAGCACTAACATTTAGGCATAAACACAATATGGGTAATAAATCATACAAGAAATTTAGACCTTTTGGCTAATAAATACTCAGATGTCCTCCAGACTTAAACCAAACTATGCCTGAGAGAAAAGTATAAATTTTAACCTAAATCAACTGCTCATTCACCTACAGTAATCTATAAAAATGAAAACTAACAATTCTAAATAATCTGAATGCTTCAAAAATAGGTGTATTATTTGATGACAGAATGTAGGAAAGATATATTTTCCCAAATGTGGCACCTATCACTACCCCAAACTTAATGAAAAGAAAAAATACAAAATCATATTAATAAGTAAAAAATTTTAGTAATTACATGTAATGGGTATATAGCTATTCTAAAATATTCACTACTTACTTAAATGAGAATGCAAGGATATTTTAAGTAAATATCTTAAAAATAAATCACTGAAAATGACTGAATACACACAAAACTATGTGTATCTGTACTTTTAAAAAAAACTTTTGCAACCCATTTTAAAAGTTAAGCTACTTACGCCACTGTTAAAAAATTATTTATTAAATTGATGTTGAGTATTATTTCTTTAAGATTTATTTATTTTTATTGCAAACTCAGATATACAGAGAGGAGAGAGACAGAGAAGAAGATCTGTCCAATGATTCACTCCACAAGTGAGCGCAACGGCCAGAGCTGAGCCAATCTGAACCCAGGAGCCAGGAACTTCCTCCAGGTCACCCATGCTGGTGCAGGGTCCCAAGGCTCTGGGCCATCCTTGACTGCTTTCCCAGGCCACAAGTTGAGAGCTAGATGGGAAATGGGGCCGCTGGGATAGAACTGGTGCCCATATGGGATGCAGGTGTGTTCAAGGTTAGGACTGTAGCTGCTAGGCCTCTGCACCAGCCCCAAGTATTATTTATAAAACAGTGTTTGATTATTACAGATGTGGCTCATTTATTGTAGAATTTTGAAAATACAGATTAGATTATAAACTGCCCAAGTTTCTCTATTCAAACATGATTACTGACATTCAAATATTTCCTTCTATACTTTACTAATGTAAATATAAATTCTGCGATTTAAAATTTTTCAAATGAGATGCTTTTTAAACCCAACTTCAAACTTCAAACTTAAAACTGACTATAAAAAAAAAGTTAGGGCCTGGCGCGGTGGCGCAGTGGTTAAGGTCCTTGCCTTGCAAGCCCGGGATCCCATATGGGCGCCGGTTCTATCCTGGCAGCCCCACTTCCCTTTCAGCTCCCTGCCTTTAACGGCCCAAGACTTTGGGACCCTGCACCCGTGTGGGAGACCTGGAAGAGGCTCCTGGCTTCAGATCCATATAGCATCGGCCATTGCGCTCACTTGGGGAGTGAATCATCAGACGGAAGATCTTCCTCTCTGTCTCTCCTCTCTGTATATCCGCCTTTCCAATAAAAAAAATAATAAAAATAAATCTTTAAAAGAAATGTTATACATACTACTTTTCGTTTTTTTGTTAACCTCTTACTTTGTCATCCATAAATTCAGCTTTTTTATAAGTTGTACACTTACAGAAAAACAGGACATAATAAATGTGAGATTCAGAACAAGTCAGTTTCAAGCCTAAAATCTTGCACTATTCCCCTTACTAAATAATCCTACTATGAGAAGCAATTTTCTCTTGCCATAATACTGCTGTATCTCACACACACACACACACACACACACACACACATTTTAAGTACACCTTTCACTTCCAGTCTGGATTCCTGTTAATGTACCAGGGAATCAACAGATGAAAGTTCAAATTCTTGGGTTCTGGCCAACCACTTAGGAGACCTGGATGAATTCCTGGTCTTCTGTCTGGTTCAACCCCAGCAGATATGGGCATTTGGGGACTGAATCAGTAATAAAGGATCTCTCAATATCCATCTCTTGTCTGTCATTGTTCATTTTCAGTAAATCAATAAATACATAAATACTTCACAATTTCAAAATCACATCTTTCTTCATGAATGTATTTATTACTTGTGCTGTAGTTGCGGCGGAGAAAGCATAACATTTGGAAGAACCACCAAGGAAGGAAACGGGTAGAAAGGAACATGAGATCTGTCCATATTACTTTTAAACTTCCTGTAAATCTGTAACAATTTCAACATAAAATATTTTGAGATTTATTTGTTTGAATGGCTGAGTTACACAGAGTGAGGGAGAGTAAAGGAGAACCAGAGACAGAGACCAAACTTTCTTCTGCTGTTTCACATCCCTAACACATCAACAGTCAGGGCTGGGACAAATAGCATCCAGGAACGCAGAGCTCTTTCCAGGTCTCCCTTGTGGGCATCAGGGACACAGGTACTTTCATCTTCCATTTCCCACTGTCTTTCTAGCTACATTAGCAGGAAGCTGGAAAGGAAGTATAGCAGGCAGGACTCAAGCAAGTATTCATATTGATGCCAGCATTGCAGGTGGCACCTTAAAACACTGTGCCACAATGCCAGCCCCTCAATGTCACTTAAAGAAAAATAACAAAGTCATCATAACTGGTTTGAGAACACAGTGAATGGCTTCTGCTAACCCAATTTTTGGCAGGCTGACTGCAATGGGTAATGATAAAAATTACTGTGATGATCCAAAGCAGTGTAACAATTTAACTTAATAAAAATGCTGAGCTATGAATTAGTGCTTTATGTAGCACTCCTATTTTGAACATGTCACCTATCCATCTGTTTAGCCTACAATGGAGAGAAAAACAAGCACTGAAATGATTATAGTATTTTTTTTAAAACAGCTATAAGGAGGACATGTATCGGCTGTGAGGAGAACAGTAGGGAAGGAGACTACAAGTCTATCTATGGAGCTGAAGGGATTGACTGAAGGTGTTCCAGCTGAAGGTAAATGGAAAGGGAGACAATGACGCTGTGTTACAGACAAGCCAAAGCACAGTGTATCAAAAACAAGGACTGGAGGCGAAACAACCAAAAGAAGTAGCCATCATTTCATCAAAAGATGAATCCTGACTTAATATCTAAGGGAGTACCGTTTTCTGAGTCACTCTTCATGTCTTGTTCCACACAGTCATCATTGGTTATCTCGTCTCCAAGGATGGCAGAGCAATTTTCCGTCTTTAGAAAGTGTTCAGAGTTTTAAAAAACAAAAAAAGACAGAGGGTAATGACTTACACTAGTGCATTTATTATTTCTTTCCTCTTAAGATTGATTTACTTCTTTATTTGAAAGTCAACAGAGAGGAGAAGACAAACACTCTTCCACTCATGGGTTTGCTACTCAAATTACCACAACATTCTGAAGCCAGGAGCCAGGACCTCCATCTGCATCTCCCACATTTGTGGAGAAGTCCAAGTAACTGGCCCATCTTTCTCTTGCCTTTCCAAGTACATGACCAAGGAGCTATGAGATGCTAATGCATGTGGTAGCTTCACCTACAGTACCACAATACCAGCCCAAATGTATATATCTTGTCGATATACAATTACAGTTTTAAATAAATCTACCAAGAGTAGGTATTTGGCACAGTAGTTAAGATGCCCACTGAGATGCCCATATTCTCATCTGAATGTCTGGGTTCCCATCCTCACTCAATCTCCTGATTCCAACTTCTTCTTAGTTCTCCTCCATAACCATATTCACTCCTAAACCCCACACCGACAGGTGGTGCAAGTAGATGCATCCCTGCCACCTTGATTGGACATTCAGATGGAGGTCCTGGCTGCTGGCAACAACAAGGTCCAGGCAAGGTTGTTGTGGCTACTAAGCTCTATAAGATAAAACCAAAACTAGTGAATCTTAATGAAACATCTTATAATGGTTCATTCTTGCTAAATTCATATTTTAAAATGGCAAAATGTTTTGTGAGACGTTTATCTGCTACAAATAATAGTGAACATTAACATAAAGGATATATTTTATATAATCACCAATCTGTGATATAAAGATTACAAATTTCAATCTATTAAAAAGAAAACATAATTAAGTGAGGAGTTCAACTGAGACAAAATACATTCTTAAGAAGTATTCAAATTAGAACATGAGAAGTTTCCCAGCATTGGGTAGTATTTTCTTGCAATGCAGGAAAATTTTCTAGCACTGTAACAAAAATATCATATAACTGTGTCATATATTGCTCTGGAAAGTCCCAGTTAAATCTATTCTGGTCTACAATTTCCATCCTTCAGTTGCCTCAAACTTTTAAGAATTTCAGGCACCAAACAAAAAGGTCTACAGCTTTGCACATACTGCGAGAATAGTATCTCATTATTGTTCTATTTAGCAGGTATTTCAAGGTCTTTCAATCTTTGAGCTTAGAGAAAAAGTTAAACAATACATTTGTCACATGGCATCCGCAAAAGGAAGGGTTCAAGGACCGGCCACCTAACTCACAAATGCAAAAATCCACACATGCTCAAGTCTCTCATGCACATTAGTGCAGCATTCACATACAGTCCATAAACACCTTTATTGTAACTCATTTCTATTCTGCAAATGATACTTAGCAGCTCTGTTAGGGAAATAGTGATAGCATTATATAATTAGAGAATAAGCACAATAAGAAGAAACTGTCAGAAACAATACTGTTTTTTTTTTCATATAGATCTGATGCAGTTTCTTGAAACCATAGCTGTGGAATTTGTGGGTGCACAGGGCAAGCTATATGATACTAAGAATATTGTCAAGTTTCCAGCCTAGCAATTTAATTCATAATTTGCCATGGCAATGATTTGCTTCATTTTATTTTGTTTGGAAAACAAAATACTTGTAAGTTTCCAAGTTAAGACACAATTCTATCCAACTCAGTCACACACATCAGTAGAGCCATTTACCTCAATGTGATTTGCATTGTCATTGATAGGTTTTTCTGCCAGTATTTCACTGTACAAAAATGTCATTTTCTGTTTAAGTTCATCAACTTCTTGTTTCGATATTTCAGCTTCTCGAGCAAGCTGAAATTGCAACATAAAATGCAATTCGTCATACATGTTTGTAAACAGATGCATTTACAAGGCTGGTATGTCAATAACAGACATCAAAAAGACAGGAAAGAAGATGACTCCTATTGCAAAGAACTTTCAAATTGGGGTAGTATAAAATAATAAGCTTAAATATTCTTTCATGGATTTACATATGTATATAAAATCAAACGTTTTCTGAGACAAAAACACAGGTACTTTATAAAGTTCATGTAAAATGACTAGGAATAAGTTGTCACTAAAATTTCTTTAAAATGCATGCAAATATTTAATAGTGTGAAGTCTCTTTTTTCTAATTGCTGTTCTAAAAAGAAATCATCCTGTACTTTGAATTTGCAACTCTCCAGCTTGTCATGGGTTTCCTAAGAGAAAAGTCA